TTTGTTAAGATATAAAAGAATAGAATTAAATAATATGTTTTTCAACAACCAATTTAACAGCCAGGAGACGTGTAAAAATTTTCATATGTAAAGGGTTCAAAATTAAAATAAATTATAGTTTGCATAAGCAGTCAACTTCCATTAAAGAAAACTAAAATGTTTTTTAAAGTTAAAGTTTTCATGAAAAACATTTTCACAAATCCGTATCTCTTTTATCGGAAGCTACTTGTAATACATAATCATTTTGTTATGCTAATTTTTATTTTATATTTTCATTTGTAAATAACAAACGTATTCTCATTTGGCTTGAAATCGATCTGAAAATATCATTTTTTTCGTTAGGGCCTCCAGGAATGGGTGGAATGAACCCGCGAATGAATCCGCCTCCTAGGGGGCCTGGGATGGGTCCTATGGGAAGTTATGGGCCGGGTATGCGAGGTGGCCCTCCTAACAGCAATTTAGGTCCTTCTGGTGGACCAATTCCACCCATGATTGGCGGTCAGAGACCATGGACACCTAATACATCAACACCAATGAATTATTCGTCTTCATCACCAGGAAGTTACGGAGTAAGTTAAAACCTTTTTAATGTTTAGGGTATTATATTTCTGTAACGGTTTTCTTTTTTCTTAAGGGACCTCCACCGGGTGGTCCACCAGGTACACCAATCATGCCATCTCCTCAAGATTCATCAAACTCGGGCGGAGAAAACATGTACACAATAATGAAGCCAGTTGTTCCAGGCGGTAACATTGGAGGTGATTTCTCTATGGGTGGTGGTGGTTCCGATGGATCACAAATGGGTCCTATGGGTGGTGTTTTAAATGGTGACGGACTCGATGGGATGAAAAATTCTCCAGCTAATGGATCAAGTGGTGGTGGTGGTGCAGGAGGCCCAGGAACGCCGCGTGATGATTCTGGATCTGGTATGGGCGACTACAACTTGGGAGGATTTGGTAGTGGAGGAGGAGAAAATGTGAGAATATCAGTTGATGAGTTATTCAATCTCTAACTTGAAAAGCTTCCACTTTACAGGATCAAACGGAATCAGCTGCAATCTTAAAAATTAAAGAAAGTATGCAAGAGGAAGCAAAACGATTTGAAAAAGATAATGATCAGCCGGATTATTACATGCAGTAACGAGACAAAATAAACAGCGATTCATCAAGGATGATGAGCATATTTGAAATTCCATCAAGTCGATTGTACTTTAAACGATTTTTGTTTGTTTTTATACCTCAAAAGATGACAAAAAAGAAAATAATATCGAAGAAAATAATTGGATATCCTAAGAGCAAAAAAATAAATAAATAAATAATAAAATTTACGTCCTTTTCAAGTTAGTTGCACATTTAAAAAAACTTTCGTCTCGTGATATTGTTAATACAACACGTCATTATCGGTCAAAATCATCTCGATGTGACGTCACAAGACGACCATATTCATCACTAACAACTTCATCTCTCTCAATTATATTTTGTCTGTTTTATTGATCGTGTAAGATTTCTTAGCATAAGATTTAGAAGCATATTTTTTAACTTTCTGACTTTCTTTGTGGTAAAAAGTTGAAAATAAATAAAAGTAAGAGCCAATCACAAATATTTGAAGTTATGAAGATCCACATGATTTATTTGAAAAATGGGGAATGGAATAATACAAACTAGAACAAAGTGGAAATTTTATTGGAAATGTAAAAAAAGTAAATTAATGATAATTCAAGTTATTAAGCGTAATTATGAAGTAAAGAAACATACTTTTCATGAATGTATGTAATAATCAAAGTGGTCTCGCAAACGGAAAGAAATCTACAAGATTTCTTATTTTTATTTTAAAATCTCTTCCGTTCAAAATACTTTTATCGTTTCTTTTTTGTTTTTAATTTTTGTAAATTATAAAACTTGGATAATGAATAAATTGACAGTAAATGAATACAAAAAATAACTTTTGCATTCTTTTTATAGAATATATTCTGAGGATTAACATGTTGGAATCATGGTTGATGGGAGTTTTATAACATAACTCTATGAGAAAATTGTGAACGAATCTAATATAGAGAAAAGTGTTTCATAAGTTTAGTTCAAATTAAACAAGCTGTTAAAATCAGTCGATGTTAGATAGCTTCAAAAGGATGAAAATATTTAATAACTTTTAAAAACACATTTACATATATCATTTTGACGCCCAACTCTACTTTTAAAAACTTGATTTAATTAGTATTTTCGTCTGGATAAATTTTTTCTCTTTGATCTCATTATAATATGATCATTAAGTAGGTAAATTTGTGACTACTTATTTGACGTCCATTTGGTGAATTAAACCTGCAAAAATCTTATTTTCATTGTATTTATTATATATTAATATTTTTTTTCTTAACAACTTTTTCAAAATACATTTCTCACATCTTAAAATTGAAGAAACTTCTGAGAGCATTTGTGAAATATCCCGAGAAATGTTACAGCTTTTCTTTCTTTGTTTCATAAACATTTTTATTTTTAACTTTTCTTTGTATTTATGTCAATACATTTTCAACTATTTAGTTTTGCATGGAAGACAGCTCAATATTTCACTCACTTTATCATGAACGAGAATTATTCTTAATACAATTTTAATGGAATTTTCTACTTTTAGTTACTAACAATTATTTTTTATTTTAATATTTTTTTTATTGCCATTAATTTTTCATCGTTGGAAAGTTTATTCAAATAATGTTGTAATTAACTCTCGTTACTCCCTCAACATTCCAATTATTCCAATCGTAATGATTTCTTTTTTGAAATATTAATATTAAAATGGCATTATGGCATTATATTTCTTTGTGAGGATGAAGATATTCCACAAGAGTGAACACTATTTCTTTCTTACTTTGAAAAATTAATAAGCATTTTTCAATTTCTCCCGACGAAAACATTCGCCGGTGATTTGCTTAAAGTAAAGAAGAACAAAAGATGCTTTTTTAAGTTCAAGTAGAGAACATTGAAAGGTATAAATATGAATAATCCGATTTAAATAAATCGTTTTTGACCATCGTACATCGAGATCTTTTAAATCGTTTCATTTTCCACATCATGTCCATTGAGCAGTATGAGCCAAAGATTTGTCGTATTTAGGTATCATGTTAGTTTCATTCAATGTTATGAAATTTTTTTTTACGAATTGCTGAGCTTCTTCGCCTCAGCTTGCATTTTCTCACGTAACTGAGGTACATCATCATCGATTCTAACAATTTGTCGTAGTTTCTGTCAATGAGAAAATAAAATTTTGTAAGAGATTTGAATTAAAACATTCTTGTTCATTTATAACTTACATCAATCGAGTCTCCTGGGGTCTTCTGCCATAGCCAGATTGCGTAACCTGGTATGCATAACATAGATGAGAGAGCTGTAAACCAACCAAAGGCGTGAGCCCACCAGGGGAACTCGTACTCTAAATATTTAATTGGCGTAAATTGAACGAGGTTGAAAATAAAAACTCCCTAAATAAATAAAATGTATTCTTTTAATTCTTAAGTTTCTGTAAAAATAAGGAAATGACAAACTTACGAAGCAAATACAGGGAGTTGTAACAACCCAACAGAATTTCCACCATGCCATTGGATAATATCCAATCATGTCTTTAATGCCATCGTAGAATCTTTGAATTCCAAAGCACCATGATATTGAAATGCACTCAAAGAAAATAAGGAAAAGCAAACAGAAGCCACTGACAGCGTAGGAATCGAGAATCTGGAACATGTACATCCCCCCTTGGGTTATACATGTTAATCCTACAAAGTAGCTAATGACGCAAACAATTGCAATGAAAATTTCCTTGCGCCTTCTTAAAAGTTTAGGCCATTCATCTACCATTGCAGTGATGAAACCTTCCATTGTACAGAATTGTGAATCAAGACCAATTAGAAGAAGCATAAAGAAAAAGAGACATGACCAAAGTGGAGCTCCTGGCAGCTGGAGAACGGCTGATGGATACGCCAAGAATGCAAGGCCGGGACCTAATATCAATTATCAATGAAATTAATTATTACATTAAAACGAAAGTTAAATTTCCATGCCTGAAGCTGCTACTTCACTAACTGAACGTTGCTGTTCGTGTGCCATAAAACCAACAACTGAAAAGATGACAAAACCAGCAAACATTGATGTTGAAGAGTTTACTGTACAAACTATTAGAGCATCTCTAACGAATTTAAGGAATAAATAAAATTAAAAAAGATTATTTTTAATAATTAATAAATATGAATTAAATTAAAAGATTATTTAGTGGCATTTTTCATATCAAAACTCACTTGTAAACATTGTTTGTGAATTTGTTGTAACTTCCCAGAGCCACGAGAGTTCCCAATCCTAATCCATATGAGAAGAAGATTTGCGTGACGGCATCAATCCACACTTCCGATTCTCTTAGCTTAGCTAAGTTTGGCGTGATATAAAATTTAATTCCCTCCATGGCACCGGGTAATGTAATGCCTCTTACCAAAAGAATAGTCAAAAGAACATAAGGGAAGAGAGCTGTAAAGTAAACGACCTAAAAATATTTTAAAAAATAAATAAATTCAGAAATGAATGAAGAAATATTAAAGTTATTTACTTTGCCAGTCCATCGAACACCTTTCCATATGCAAAAATAACATAGAATCCAAACAAGAAGAAGTGTTCCAGCTAATTCCCATCTTATATTTCCAATATCATCAATTCCGCTTGAAATCATCAATGCACGACGTCTAAACATCAAAGTTAATGAAAGTTTGTATTAAAAAATACATTAATGAGTCAATTTGTTTACTAACTCCCAGAATTCTTTAACAGGATCGGTTAATTGTGTCACTGAAATATTTCTTCCTGCAACAGTGCATACTTTTGAAACTAATGTTGAACCATTTGAGAAGAACTGTCCAGTAACTTTTTGATCGAAACAAATATCTTTGCGAAGGTAAGGATTAACACATGTTATTGTGTTCCATAAGTTATCGCATGTGCTCCATGGTAGTTTCGCTCTCATTGACATAAAGAAATAAAAGATGGCCCATGACAAGATGACAATGTAGTAAACATTCATCCAACATGACATAACAGCGGCAGCATAACCAATGCCTGGTAAAGTTGCAAAGTAAACATTTATTCAAGATTTTAAAGTTTATTTATGTGAAAATTTAATAAAAGAACCTTTAAATATTGGTGCAATCTTGAAAACCCCTAAACCACCAATCGTAAGCATTTGTCCCAGTGCGAGTTCCATGAAAAACATTGGAATCCCCGCAAGAATAAGTGTAATGAAGTATGGTATAAGAAACGCACCGCCACCATTTTTATAACATAAATAGGGAAAGCGCCACACATTGCCAAGACCAATGGCGAGACCGACAACAGATAGGATAAAATCTAGTTTGCTGCCCCAAGTTCCACGTTCAAGTGGATCGTGTTCTTCTGATTTTGTGTTTCTTATCTATTGAAACAAGAGTGGTTATTGCCTTCTGTTGATTTTGATTTATAAGTGTGACAACTTCACAGTAGTTTATAGTTTATTGTTCTCATGAGATCAAGCATGCGAAGTTCTTACCTCTGACTTTTCCTTCTAACAATAACAAAAATAGTTCTTACCGCTATTGAAGTCGATTGTGACTGTAGAGCTGATGGTGCGCTTGTTTGTAATTCAAGACTCTCTCCACTTTTATGACGCAATTCAATATCATCTGAATCTCCCGTCATAGTAACTAAATGAGCACTCTGAATGAGAAATTATGCCTTAAAACCTAATTCAATCAGATGATAACTCCAAATCGTTCTTTTCTGCGAATCAAGACGTCAAAAAAATATCAATCGTAAGAGTTAAACAGAAAAGTTTGCATCCGGGCATAAATCACAGTCGAGCTAAGCTTAAGTGGATAAATGGAAAGTACAAATCTCTGCTTTGCGTTCATCGTCAAAACGATGAAATCATGGAAGCACAAAGCAGAAACGGATGGAGATACGTAATGTGATATGTTCGTTTGCCATCAATATTACTTCCATTATATAACAGCTAACAACAGATTTAAACCAATAAAGCAGGCAAAAAGTGGTAGCAGAGAGAAACATTAAATTATAGCTTCATTTAACACCGGAACTGTAATCGAGCACAATGTACAATAAGCGACAATACTTTGTGGTGATGGGGGGAAGCGTGATGCTTTGATATTAATAGCATACGATTACTTGGTTAAACAGTTACTTTATATACATAGTCGTCTCTTACTAAATTATATGTACATGTTTATTTATTTGTGACTTGTGTGTATGATAGACGCGATTTAGACGAGACAGCAGGTCTACTAGCATTGATCAATTGTCTCTTACACTTACATCTGACGAATCATTTAAGTTGGCACACATGCAGAGATATTTCATTGGCCGGAAATTACTGATTAAATGGGAAAATCATAAGCTGTAGAATCGATTTGTGGTCATTTATTGCGATTATTATTATTATTTTTATTATTAGTCCTTTGAAGCAGAAAAGAATTTGAAGATACAATATGCGAAAAATTCCATGAACTTTATAGTTTCATTCTACTCTCTACTCGATATTTTAATTAGAACACTGAACAAAATCCTCCTCTTTTTAATAATCAAGAAGCTCAACAAAAGAAAACTTCTTCTAAGTAGTAGAAAAATTTATTTTGTGATAAAATAATTTTAAAGTGCTACTTCCAGATGATTGTGCAGAGTAGGAATAAAGTCAGATTTTCTTACTGTGTTTGGAGAAATGAAATAAAAGGAAAGCCACCGGGCATAAAATTCAAGCCGGTTACATGAATAAAAGAAGCAGTACTAAATTCTTTGTGCTCTTCATACTTATTCACAAGAGTTTAAAAAGTTGAACCTTAAAGTAAAGTCAACATTAGCTTTTGCTATTTTCCGATTTTCACCCCCCGGTGATAATAACTCTGAATAGGTAAAGCTACCCAAAGGAAAAAGTAAATTCGAATTAAATACTTTTAATATATAAATTGGCATAAAATAAAGTGATCAGCAGTTAGTATGAATTATGTACACTGAAGTTTCCACAAGCTTTGATTTATTTCTTACATAGAAACATTTAGAATTTCTAAATTTTGAACTTCTCGAGAACCTTTTATTAAAATACATATTTTACATGTATGTATATATTATGAAAGTAAATATATATTGAAATGTATTTTGTATGTCAATACAAATTTAGCATACAAGAATAATTCAACGTTAAGGGATGAAACGACATAAATGAAAGGAAAACATTATATAGCAATCATTGGTCTGCGCTTAAAGTAGATTCTGATGGGATCTTTAAAGGCTTCTTTTTCTTTCACAATTTAACAACATTTTCCTTTCTCTCGATATTTTATCTTTCGAAAATATTTATGTGTAGTCTTGTTTGAAAGATTCTTCATGGAGAAAAAACAACTTTTTCAAACTTGATAAATCAACATGATTTGAAAACGGATATCTATGTAATAGAAATTAAAAATTCTATGCACATTGTGCCATAAATATTTCTTTTTTTATTTTGAGAGTAAATTTCCCATCAGCTAAAGCTATCTTTAATGATTCAGGTATACCTTTCGTGATACCAAAAATGTGATGATGTATGTTTAAGAGTATTTTTGTTGTTGTTGTTATATAAATTCACTTTGATACAATTTTGGTTCTTTGAAGTTATTATTGGTCGAACAATATTAAAGTAAGACAATTGAACCTTTTTTATTTCTTTTTCTCAAAATAAATCATGAATATCCAAAAAGGAATTTACATTTTAATATGATTTTCTTTCCTTTTTGAGTATGGATTGTATATAGATACTTATTTATGTATGTATGTATGTATGTCAAGAGGTAAAACTTGTTCTTTCCATAATTTCAATTGTAATATGAAGGTTGGGACAAAAGAGAGTAAGTAAATAGCTTAAGGTCAGAAAAATATTTCGAACAAAATGTTGAACTTAAGAAGAAAAAATCTCATTTAAAGTTAAAATCATATTAGTCATATAATTACTTCCTTCCGAAAGCATAAAACAGTCCAATCTGTCGTCAAAGCTTTCAAATTGTTTTTCTCTTTTCAAATAACTCGTAATCTAAATATAGGCAAATTGCAGCAAGTTTTAATCGAGGCCTTAAGCTTCTTGTTCATGGATATAAAGACATAGCATTTAAAAAGGCTTGTAAAAAGGGATAAAAATTATTATGTTTTCTTACATTTCACTCTATACTAATGGCATAGATACTTTTCCAACAGGCAGTATTTAAGTTTTAAAGCTTCTCCCTGATTTAAGTTAAAGAAGGAAAAAGATATCCTTTTATATGGTCCTTAAATATTTTATGTGTCTAAGTAAAGACACATACATTTGATGGATTTTTTTTTAAATTGTTGCTTTTCTAGAGTTTTTTTGCTAACAACAAACATTGTAATTGAGAAAAAAAAAACTAAAGCAGTTCAAAAGATTTATGAAAAATAATCTCACAATATTGTGACAACATTATAAAATTTTTCTAACAAACTATTCATGTTGTAGAAAACTTGAATTAAATCTAATTCTATATAAAACTTATTCAATGAGTAAAATTAAAATGTAGTTTTTTCGGCACGTAAAAAGTATTACAATTAACTAATAAAACGAGTTTAGATGCGAGACACTTTTATTCGAGTGTAGAACTCGGAATATGTAACTGTCACATTGTTTACGAAACGAGATTTGAAAAACGTGGGAATTCATATGTATATGTATGTAAGAAACTGGGATCAAATGTTAACTGAAGAAAAATTGGAAATATTTATAATTAAAATCTTTAAAATCTTAACTCATATACGTTCAAATATCTTCATAACAAATTCAAATCTTTTTTCAAGTTTTAAATTCATACTTCTTTATTTTAATTACATCAGAGTCGATTAATATTCACTTATTTTATATAAATTTATGAACAGAATATTCTGTGAGCATGAAGGAATGCTTTTGTTCAAAGTTATTTTGCAAAAGAAACATAAGATAACTGTGATATTTATTTGCATGCTTTCTGAGTAATTGTAAGTATATATAGTATACTTAACAAACATTGGTTCATTTAATAAAATTTCATATCTTGACATGTAAATCTGAAAAAAATAGTTTTCTTTTGCAGAACACTGTTTTCCAATTAAAAAAAAGTTTATTATATGAATCTACTTGAACAGTTGTTGTTCTTAAAACATTAGGAATGTCCTTTCCGCAACTCTCCACGTCATTAAAAAAAGGTTTAGTGAATGAATTGTATACTCCTTCAAATAAAAAAACTAACTAACATAAAATATTTGAGGTAAGGGAATAAGTAAAAAAGAAATAAAAAAATAACTGAGTTTTTGGCGCAAAGCCATCTTCAAAATCTACTCAAATATTTATGAATAGAAAGTTTTTTAACGTTAAGAAATTTTCTTTTGAATAAATAATTCTGCTACAAGATAACACTTTTATTTTTTTCACTTCCACTGATCTCAATTCTATTTGAAGAAAGTTAAAAAGTTTTATTTTATGTTTTCCATTTCTATTGTTTTTACGCGTAAGAGGATGAACAAACCTTAAACATCCAAAAGAAAACCAGAAATTGTTCTATGGGAAAATGTGTAAAGAAGAAATGTAACTTTTTCCATTTGCAAGTAAATGAAGATTTCGACAAACTTTTTCGCATTAGCTATAATAAATAATATATAAATTGCTTAAGGACAAGCTGGAATTTTTTTTTAATTTTTGTTCCCTTTTTGACTCAATATATCGTAACTTCGATAAAAATTTATATCGATAAACAGATAAACCTTGATAAACAGATATTTTTTTGTCGCCCTTGAATCGAATTTGTATGAAACATTGCCTCGATAAAGAAATAACCTCGATAAACAATTTTTTTTTGTCCCCCTTGAGTTATCTCTTTATCAAAGTTCCACTGTACATTATTTCACATAAGCATAATTAGCGTAACTTTAACTCAAACTATCGATTTAACTCACAATTCAAGATTGATAACAAATATTCATTTTTGGTATTGTAATTATCATCAACTTAAAAATTAACTTTTAACACATTTAACATATTGTTAGAATTTTTTCTTTCAATGAATTTCAAAATCGGAATATTCACAAAAGTAACATACTTAATGACTTAAACTCCCGTAAGCACGAACATACACTCACAAAATGACAATATCTAAATATCTTTAATTTAGTAACATTTTGAGTTTTCTTTAAGTGATGAGTCAACGAACAACTTCCGTTAATAGACTACTCAATTGATTTAGATAACCCGATTATGCTTTTTAGCTTAACCCAGCTGTGATTTGTACTTTTAATATTACATGCTTATTATTACATTTCTCCAAGCGAGTCTTAAAATAAGAAGTTTCCTTTAAATTTGCTATAGGAAATATTTTTTCACCAGAGTTTCATTTTTCACTTTTCCTTCCTTTACTTCACTCTACTCAACCTAATGTGAATGATTAAATTTTCTTCTAAAATAAAGTCACAAGAATACTTTCAAACAGCACACTTCAATGTAACAAAAAGTTTCCTCTTTCTCTTCAATCCCACAGGGGAGAACGTCTTATCACCGTCAGTCGTCGATCACAACTGATTACTGAGTGGAAAAGCTTTCGAGCTCTCCAGCTTCAGTTTGTATAAAGAACAATAAAAAAGTTTTGTAGTATGCTCTTAATAATCGCGAAAACAAAGCGAGGGAGGAAAAGAGATGACAAGTAATAGGGGAACTACGATATCATGAATAGGAACGATGGAGATTACGGCCTAAAAAGCAAACTTGAATGCTGTGCAATGTTCTTCAAACAGATAAATAAAACTCCTAGGCAAATAGTACATAAAAATATATACACATATGAAAAAAAATTTCGCTACTCATGTTACTTTATAGAATTTTGAAATTTCTTAAACTCATAAACTGAAATCAAGTGAAGAATGTCTTCGCAAATCAGGAGGAATGTTTTATGAAAAGGAAAGGCAAAAGAAAAAAACAAGTGTTGCTTCATCAACTAATTTCCTGATGTGAAAGAAATAGAAATGTTTTGTATAGGTTTTAGTTTTGTATAATAAAAAAACTGAATATTTGAATAAAAATCCAATCCTTCCAGTGCCCTGGCATGAAGAAAAAAATGTAATACTAAATATCTTTCTATTTTACTAATAATGCCAGTTATATAAGTACATATCTTGATTGTCTGCTTTACAATAAAAGGTCTTCTTAATATGTAGATACAAAAGAATAAAAGAAAAAAGCTATCGTGTATTCAAAGCTTTTTTTGGTAGAAATAAAAATATTAAAGCTTTATTGATGGTGGTTCAGCTTCATTTCATGCTCAATCACTAAGTTGATATGAATGTTTAACATTTTTATGCAATTTTATATACCTCCCTTATGAACGACATTATCATTACCATCATCATCATTATCAGTAGCTTTATATCAAAGGAAATAATTATATATTTCCGTTCTAAATCATTTTTCTTCGTCACGGTGCAAAACTTTGTTTTGCCTTTCATAACAGTAGGTGAAAGGACGGGAAGTATTTATAAAGAAAATTTATGAAAAATATTCTTTTTATGTCTTATTTTTTAATTTTTTAAGTGCCATGATACCCTCGCAGTTGGGTTTTTTTCTAAATGAATACCCCAGAGATTACAAAACAAATTAAACCTTTATATCATTAGATTCTGCCTTCTTCATAGATTTTTTCATTTAAATAATAAAAAAAACCTAAGAAAATCTTTTATTTTCGACGAAACACGGAGCTGAATGGTGATGATAACGATTATAGTTAAATTAGATTCAAAAGTATGGCGTTTCATCAACACCAAGTTCCCGAGTATTTTTTTTAGAACATTTGAAATAACATGTATACTTAAATATTTTATTTTAAGAATTAAGCATTCATGTGTGTAATGGAAAGGGATAATGCTAATGAAAGTAAAGGAATAAGGATAGAATTAAAGGTTTTTAATATGGGATATTATGCTGAGTTTCGATAACTAGCGATCAAAACAGGGAGTATTGCCAATAATTAGCCTAGGTGTTACTTTAAAACTGTTGTAGACACTCAGCAATTCTGTTGTTGTTCAATTTTTGAGCTAGATCTCAAAAAAATTGAAATTTAACTTACCTTATCTAAATGTAGTTAAGGAAACGTAAAGTCAACATGTTTCTATGATAAGACAAAAAAAGTATTTGAAAAGTCACAATTTTTGAAAAGTCACAATAAAAACAATTTTTTTTAAATATTTTATATACCTATAGTTTTTATTTTATTCATTTTTTTCAAGTTTGATTTATTTTGTGATATTTCATAGACACAAATATGAAATTTTTGAACAAGTTTTGGCATATTTGTATGCAAATTTTCGTTAGAGTTTTTGTTTTCAATAAATTAACAAATAAAAAATAAACCAAATGCTCTGCAAAGAAATTTTTAGCTTTGGAGGAGCATTTGTGTGAACTATTTATTAGAGCAAAAATATCTTCTTGCTTTGAATGTCTCGATTTTTTGCTTTGCTTTATTTCAAAAATAATTCAACATGTGATACTTATAATCATTGTAATACAAAATCACAATTTAATCCCTTTCCAATTAAAATATTACGAGTGTATTTGATACAGAGTCATTTTTATCTTCATTTTTAATAACAATATCGTTATTCTCTAAATACAAATGTGAATATTTAAAAACTATTCACTTTAATGTAATTTTTTTATCAATTCTAATAGTGAAAATTAAAACAATGATATATTAATGTGTAAGAAGAACTAACTTATATTTATTTGTAATATTTAGTTCTAACTCTTTTGGTTTGTTTTAATTATTATGACATTTAGTTGCGGTGATATACGAAAACTGTGAAAAGGAATTTCGTGTTAGGATTAAAATGTATCAGGTGCAGGAAATTCACGATGATTGATGTTGGAAGATTTTGAGATATTTTATTTATTCTGTTATTGCTAAATATAAAGATTTTAAATCTTTGATATAAATACATAGATAACTAATGTCATTTATTTATTTTTTAATTTTGTTTTCAGAACATTTTTAACATAAGTGCTTTGATTATAGATTTAATACTGATGTCATCCGAACTGTGAAATTAGATCAAAATCTGTTCATTGCATTGCTACATTGTTTCTAGGTTTGGATTTTAAATTTTCAAACTACGATCTAAAGATTTAGATTGATCAAAATTCCATCAAAAATCATTGCTTGATATTTGTTTTCAGTCAAGACAAGTCATTCCAATAATTTTGGATTCCCGGCCTTGCGTCTTACGAAAACATGCGTTAAGTATAATATTTCTTAACTGTTTGCGATGTTCGCATTGTATTTGGTCTACAATTCTCTCAGATTTAGACTATCATATTGGAATAACTGGTAATATTGTTATCACATGTATTAGTATCACATAACATGTGATATTTATACTAATCAATATTGCTTGCAGTCATGCTGCGCGACACATACAATTCCAATAATTTCTTACAATGTTGAGCAAAGTTGATGAACAACTCATTCATGTTAATAAATAATAATCTTGACTGTCTAATTTTCTCATCAATTTCCATTTAAGAACAACTAATTTCTAAATAAGAACAACTTTTACTTCTATATTTCGATAAATTTGAGCTTTCTTTCTTTATATTATATGTACTATATTTAACGGATATCATATGATTCATCATACACATCTCGTTTGAAAAAAAGCATATTTGACTAAGGAAAATCATTCTAAAGAGAATGAGAACGAATTACTTTTACACAGGACAAAGATTCGAAACCAAAGCTTTATTTTTAATTTATTTAACATAAAAAAGAAAACTTCAACAATTATCTACAACGTGCACATTTATTTTTTAATGCAACAGGCAAAAAATAGGAATTCTTGAGTTTTGACATTCAATTAGGTCTTCACAAACGATTTTAGAATGAGTTTAACGTATAAAATAATGTTAAATTTTTTCTCCCTGAAATTTCATTTTCCTGAGTGAAACAATAAGAAGAGAAATATTAATATGTAGAGTGAGCAAAGCAAATGATCGTCAATTACTGAACCGTAGCTATTCATTTGAAAATACAGTGCAAGCCCGTTGTATGAAAATTGAAGGGAGTCACAATTAACGGGATTTCTTGCAACGGGTTTGCACTGTAGTTCATCTTTTATTTAGGCTAAAATATCATTTCAGAATTCTCAAAGTGATATTCTAAAAACTTATTCAAATTGTGCTCTTTGACAATCAACTAAATGCTTACAATGAGTTACGTTTAGTTTAGAAGAAAAATAAAAACTTCGACGTAATGTCTGATTTCAAATCTTTTTTGTATATATATTTGTGGAGTGTTTTGGGTCACTTTAATTTACGATAATAAACAAAATATTTGAGGCAAATATGTAATATTGAAAATACATGCTCTAAATTTTGTAAGCATTTTATAAGAGGTAAATCCGAAAGGAAAAGATTTCGACTAGTTAAATTGAATATTAGTTTAGTTTGATTCAACTAATCTATTAAAATCTCTGATGATTTGAAATGATAAACTATGAAATTATTTGGAACATCGGAAAACTCAATTTTGTGAGATATCAAATTCAATATAACTTAAAGTTTAAAGTCGAATTACCTAACTATTTTCAATCATCGGGATTCAAATGAATGTAGACAATTTAGCGTTAAAACTTGAGCTTGTCAAGGCTGTAACTACTCCTGGTATGTTAATTCCATCATTTACATTCCTTTCAATATTTTGATCTCATTGAATCCAAGAAATAATTTTAGTCTTCTGAGAAAGTTGAGCGTTCTTTTAGTTGGGTGAAGTATTTTCTAGACACCTAAATACTTCTAACCTTATCTTTGATCTCTCTTAAAAGAAATTTGGCTTTTCCTATTTGCATTGTAACAATTGAAAATTATTTAGGAAAAGTTTCCAAAAATTTAATTTTATCACTTTTACTTCATTATTCTGATTTTCAGATGAAATAAACAGTATAACTTTTATAATTTTGTTAAAACTTTTCTCTATTTATTCATTTCGTTCAAACCGAATAAAGTACTCATAACAGTATTGAGATATTAAAATCTGTTTTTATATAATTCAATGAAATGAGCGTTTAATTTTTTGCAAAAAGATGTCTTTTTAAATAAAACAATAATCTATATAATAACTTAACGAATTATCAAAAACAATAAATCTAAGATTTACTTATCCGTATGTACATGTATTTATATTGCTTCATACAAAAATCATTAAAATTAACTAGTAAACAAATGGACATGGTTGATAAACTTAATTAATCCCTTCCATCCTGAATTTGTTAAATAATGTAAGTTTCAATTTATTTGATTTAAATTTACAGTCAAATATAAAAGTTGCAACATAAATATTTTGAAAAATAATTAATTGACAGAGACGATATATTTAATAATTTAGAGTGTCGAAAGATATCTTTCATTCATTTTATGTATGGTCATTACTAATGACTTAAGTACTTTGTGAACTTTATCAGTGAACAAAAAGTAAAAAAATAGAAAACAAGAAAGGGAATCAAGTTTAGTTGAAAGGTGAAGTCAAAAGAGTTGAATTGAAAGGTTATTAATAATTGTGTACCACTCTTGTCTCCTATTTCTAAGACACACCAGTTGAACTTGTACCCTGGGATTTGGAATCAAGATTTTTGAGCCTTTTTGCTCGGTTAAATTCAATAAAGGACGAAAAAATACACATTTTATGGGAGGAACTCGAGATGCCGTAATAAACTCGCCCTACGACCGAACACACTGATCATCTTTTTAATGATACGGTTTGTTTTTATTTCCACACTTTTCTTTCTCTCTGCTTATTCCTTTTAACTTTGTATTTGTTTTTGTGTTCTATGTTACGTTTAATGTGTTCTGTTCATTTTATATCATTGTGGGCTCGTGTCTCTTACAGTATTACAATTCTCTAACATTATCTTCACCGACATGCAAAAACAGCCCGGGTCACATTCAGCTTTAATTGATTTCATCATATACCCGTGACTGGCTTCTTTATGCTACTTTTTGTTCATTGTTTTGCTGGCAGACGGTTGTATCTCCCATAATAACATCTTTTTCTCTCCACGCTTTTCTTCCCATGTCATAATTTGCGAGATGAATTTACCTTTTTCCTCAAATCTCGAGATTTCTTTCCCAAATCGTTTCTTGATGAATTATTATTACGTAAGAGAAACGAAAAAAAACTTCTCTGTTATAGAATTTGATGAAATAAGGCGAGCATGCGTGGGCTGATACAGAACAGTGTAGTAAGAATATTTATTGTCTCGATAATATTATACTGCAGGTTTTTTCTCCTTAAAGCATCAATTTTATCGGGTTGATTGATTGAATGAGTATAAAAAGAATTTAAATGGGCAATTGAATGTTGACAAAACAGTTGACATTGGTAAAGTGTTGAGGGTTTAAAGTGTCATTATTTAAAATGTAAGGCAAAACTTTTTAAGCAAGACAAAACCAAACAGATGCTAAAGGAGTAATAATAAAGCACCTTAGAAGGAGAAAAAATCTCATCAATGTATTTCTGCTGTCTTCTGCAATGCGAGTGATTTATCATCGCCATCGTAACTTATTTATTTTTATTCGCATCTCTTGTGCCCTTGTTCTGCCCTCACTCAACCAACATAAAGACATTTGCACCCCACAAATAGAATAGCGAGAGAATTTCATTTAGAACATTTGCTGTCGACGATTTATGACGTTGAAGTTTCAGATATAGGAACAAAAAAGCTTTCAACAATTTATCAATTTAGCAAGAGCTGTAAAAACTTTCTTAATGAATATTTTTAAAAATTATAGTAGGAAAAAAAATGAATGAGCAACATTCGTTAAATATCAATTGTGGCTTCATCATGACTTGTACTCAGTATTATTGCGTGAAATATAAATACAGGAAAAGTGTGAAATATGTAAAAATTAAATATCTAATTGATGAGTGAAAACTTCTTTTTCTCTAATGTTTTCTAAAAAAAATACTTAAATAAATACAACTGAAACTCTACATAAGAAATTCTTATATAATTATTCTAAAGTAATAATGAAGAATTTTATTTCACCTTATACTCTCTAAAAACGCCTAAAACAAAAAGATTTTTGCCCTACAGCGTCAGATTTCAGATTCAGAATTAGGTAGTTTTGTTTCAGTTTTCGGTTTTAGTAATTTAATTAACAGCAAGAAAAATAATGTTATGATATTCATAAAAATTCTCTTTCCGAATGTAGAATAAGGTAAAATGCTTAAAAGTTTATAAAAGTTTCTTCAAGTTATAAAGAACTTGGAAATGGAAATGTGTTTAATCAGTGATGAATAAACAGGAACATGTGAAAGCAAACTACAATCGACTCGCATAAGTGGAAGCTGAAGGGTGATGCCATTTATGGAGCTTTTCTTCTTATAGAGCTTCCACTTACTTATAGCAAGTCGACTGTATTCTCACTTGAAATCCTAGAAATAAATGTACGAATTTTTTTAACATTTTCGAATGTACAGTGAACTTTCTTTATAAGAATTTTGAAGTGAGTCACTTATAAAGAGCTTCTTCCTATAAAGAACTTTTTTTAACATTACTTCTTAATATGAGTGTGTGGCTTATAAAGAGCTTTTTACTTATAAGGAGAATTCTTATAAAGAAAGTCTACTGTATTACAATAAGAAATAGAAAAACATAAATTTAAACAAATAGCCAACCATCAGTTAAACTGAGTTCGCAAACCATCCATGAAAACATTTGGGAGCAGGAGACGGAAGGTTGCTGAATTCACATCGTCCCAATTCCTTCATTGTGACAGCATTCAAGACGAGTAAACCAACGCGCTTTTCGTCATTTCCACCCCATAATAATGCAGCAAGTAAAATTCCATCATCTTCAGATTTAGCGTTGGGTGACGGAACAAAAATTGGTTCACTTGGATAACAGTTGGATTCAGTCCATAAGATTGAAGTTTTATTGACGACATCAATCTTGATCAGTGAATTTGAATTATCCTTCTCGAAACTGACCCCATACACGAATTTGTATTCTCTGCCTAAATAGTTCTCATAATTTATTCTTGGAAGTTCACACCTTGACTCACTTAAAAGTTCTGGGACACAGAAGACATTTCCATTCGACAACTTCAGATAAGCTGAAGCTTTTGTGTTCGGCAACGTTACGAGATTTTCGTTTTCTGAACATGTCAAACTTTTCACATTACACAAAGGCAAGACAAATCGAAAAGGTTTTGCTAAAGTTATTTTAAGCAAGTCAGATTCCTTTTCCAATTCTTTAATGCTCTCTAAATACAGTTGGTTCAACACAGAGGAATCAGATAAGCAGCAAATATCGATGACAATGTGATTATCTTTTTCGTACTGGTTGATGATGTGGAAATAGGGGAAAGCTTCTGATTCAAATTCGTACTCAACTTTTCCTGTAGTTCTGTTCACTACACAAAATCGACAATTTTCTTTTGGTGACCACTTCATCAATTCACAAACTGTTGCCTTTGTGAAAGCTGTTTTAATTTTAACAGCAACAGACATTTTTAAAGGTTGCTCGACAACAATGAAGAAGTTTTCAGTTACTCCAAATGTGTGCATGTAGCCAGGGTTGAACTTCCATCGAACTGGAACTTCAGCAACAATTTCTGCATTCTCAAAACATTTTTCACCCTTTTTTAAACTAAAAATTTTATATTTTGGCCCAGTTAATGAAACTGAAAGTCCAAGGTTGAAAACTGTTCCATCAGGCATGACATGTGGATGAGATGTATGATAGACTAAACCTTTGACATATTTTAATACTTTCACAGTATTTTCCGTTTCCAATGTTGTGGGATTGATTTGATGAATAACCGGAAACTCTACAAACGTGTAAAACTTGTCATTAATTGGATAAATTGAAACTAAAGCATTATCTGAAGCATTATCGCTTGGNAAATTCCCCTTGAGCTACAAAAAGAAATCAAATTTCATACCCTTTGTAGCTCAAGGGGAATTTATTTCCAATTTATTAATATAATTAACATAATTTTTAATATTTTTCCATGACTTTAGCTAAAAACAAGTCAAGAAATGAGAGAAGAATTTACGAGAAGCTTGCTAATGGTAAGTATGAGCACCAGAATAAACTTTAAATATTTATATTCTATTGTGATTATCACTTACATTTTAGTGATATATCACAACATTCAGTGATTAATCACTGAACAAATTTTCAAAATCTTGTGATTAATCACCGCATGTTGTGATAAAATCACTGAAGTATTTCTGCAAAAATAACAACCACATGGTCTGTTTTTGTCTGGCTGGCCGATTTCTGAAGCAAAATTTCTGCTTCATTTTGATGGCTGTGATATTGCGATATTGACATTTTGACAGTCAGTCAATGTCTGTCAAAATGTCAGTCAATCGAGTTGGGCGTGCAATTTGCCCAACTCTGGCTTATTCCTTTTAACTTTGTATTTGTTTTTGTGTTCTATGTTACGTTTAATGTGTTCTGTTCATTTTATATCATTGTGGGCTCGTGTCTCTTACAGTATTACAATTCTCTAACATTATCTTCACCGACATGCAAAAACAGCCCGGGTCACATTCAGCTTTAATTGATTTCATCATATACCCGTGACTGGCTTCTTTATGCTACTTTTTGTTCATTGTTTTGCTGGCAGACGGTTGTATCTCCCATAATAACATCTTTTTCTCTCCACGCTTTTCTTCCCATGTCATAATTTGCGAGATGAATTTACCTTTTTCCTCAAATCTCGAGATTTCTTTCCCAAATCGTTTCTTGATGAATTATTATTACGTAAGAGAAACGAAAAAAAACTTCTCTGTTATAGAATTTGATGAAATAAGGCGAGCATGCGTGGGCTGATACAGAACAGTGTAGTAAGAATATTTATTGTCTCGATAATATTATACTGCAGGTTTTTTCTCCTTAAAGCATCAATTTTATCGGGTTGATTGATTGAATGAGTATAAAAAGAATTTAAATGGGCAATTGAATGTTGACAAAACAGTTGACATTGGTAAAGTGTTGAGGGTTTAAAGTGTCATTATTTAAAATGTAAGGCAAAACTTTTTAAGCAAGACAAAACCAAACAGATGCTAAAGGAGTAATAATAAAGCACCTTAGAAGGAGAAAAAATCTCATCAATGTATTTCTGCTGTCTTCTGCAATGCGAGTGATTTATCATCGCCATCGTAACTTATTTATTTTTATTCGCATCTCTTGTGCCCTTGTTCTGCCCTCACTCAACCAACATAAAGACATTTGCACCCCACAAATAGAATAGCGAGAGAATTTCATTTAGAACATTTGCTGTCGACGATTTATGACGTTGAAGTTTCAGATATAGGAACAAAAAAGCTTTCAACAATTTATCAATTTAGCAAGAGCTGTAAAAACTTTCTTAATGAATATTTTTAAAAATTATAGCAGGAAAAAAAATGAATGAGCAACATTCGTTAAATATCAATTGTGGCTTCATCATGACTTGTACTCAGTATTATTGCGTGAAATATAAATACAGGAAAAGTGTGAAATATGTAAAAATTAAATATCTAATTGATGAGTGATAATTTCTTTTTCTCTAATGTTTTCTAAAAAAAATACTTAAATAAATACAACTGAAACTCTACATAAGAAATTCTTATATAATTATTCTAAAATAATAATGAAGAATTTTATTTCACCTTATACTCTCTAAAAACGCCTAAAACAAAAAGATTTTTGCCCTACAGCGTCAGATTTCAGATTCAGAATTAGGTAGTTTTGTTTCAGTTTTCGGTTTTAGTAATTTAATTAACAGCAAGAAAAATAATGTTATGATATTCATAAAAATTCTCTTTCCGAATGTAGAATAAGGTAAAATGCTTAAAAGTTTATAAAAGTTTCTTCAAGTTATAAAGAACTTGGAAATGGAAATGTGTTTAATCAGTGATGAATAAACAGGAACATGTGAAAGCAAACTACAATCGACTCGCATAAGTGGAAGCTGAAGGGTGATGCCATTTATGGAGCTTTTCTTCTTATAGAGCTTCCACTTATAGCAAGTCGACTGTATTCTCACTTGAAATCCTAGAAATAAATGTACGAATTTTTTTAACATTTTCGAATGTACAGTGAACTTTCTTTATAAGAATTTTGAAGTGAGTCACTTATAAAGAGCTTCTTCCTATAAAGAACTTTTTTTAACATTACTTCTTAATATGAGTGTGTGGCTTATAAAGAGCTTTTTACTTATAAGGAGAATTCTTATAAAGAAAGTCCTCTGTATTTGTTAAAAACTGCTGTTACTTATAGGGTCTTTATATGCAGCGAAAAAAGATGGGGTTTATACTCCACTTACAGTGGTCAGTACACTCAATACTATTATGATGATGATGATGATAAGAAACTGCTGTCATAAGAAATTCAATGTATTGAATTTTTGTATCTATGGTTAACAGAATCTAGTAAAGATCTTTGAACGCAATTAATTGATGAAGATGAATAACATCATTTTCTCTCCAATATAGCTTACGGCATACACTAAATTGAAAAAGTACACTTTGAAATAAGACAAACTTTTCAAATCAAACCACTCATAACAACATTTCGAGATTATGAAGTTGCATGCGATGCATTTCAATTGTAAAAGGTATAAAAATCAAAGAGAAGCATAAACGGAAAGATTGTCATCATGATAATATATACTTATAGTTTTTATTCTAAACACATCCTTCCTATAATTCTCCTTAACTCATTTTCTTTTATTTATTTTTACAGTTCTGTATTTTCTTTTTGCTTCGCTTTTCATATTTGTTTTATTCTTTTTATTATTTTTCCGTGATATATGAACAGGGTCAATTGTAACGAAATAATGTTCAAGTCCATGAATAAAGTCAAATTTTATACCCTAAAAGATTAATAACCAATTGTTAAGGACACATAATATAGAGCAGCAATAAAAAGATATTCAATCCAGGGATCTGATCAACATCTGTATTTGCTCGGAATAAGAAAATGGAAATTTAAAATATTTATCATTTTTTTGCAAAGGAAATAAGAATTTATAAAAAGAAGAATTTATAATTAAAATAGATGAGCTAGGTTTCAATTGAAAAGGTGTTAAGTCATTTCACAATGGTGGAAAAAGGAAGAAGAAACGAACACATTCTACATCCCTGAATTGATGTAATCGAAATATAGTTCCAAAGAAAAATTGAAACGTGAATAATGAATGCATATAAAAAAGTTTCAGCATCTAATCTAACTGAATGTTAAATTTCCCCTTCGGCTTGTATTTATATGTCTAGAGATAGACATTATCATGATCATCTAACTCCCATTTACACCATGTCCATCCGTTCACACCCAATTGTAAAAAATTAGCGCTCATTTATACGTTACCGTCATCATCGGGAAGAGTTTGTGATCCCTCGCAATATGGTGATGATGTGATTGCGACGACAAATGACTGTTGAACTTTGTCGTTACTCGCCGCATGTGATGGAAGTGAATCTTCTTGATGTGCAGTTCTTCCGTTTAACTGATGCTCATTTTGATGCGCATTCTCTACTTCAACTACTTGAATTGGTACCGAAGGTGCTTGTAAAATTCCTGAACTCGACCCTCGTTTTCCTTGAGTGCTTTCAATTAGATCAATCGATGTTGTTGTTGTCGGTGTTACCTCACAAAATGCACCAGATGAGAATCTCATACTATATGGTTGACGATTTGTTAACTTCTATTGAGAATCAATTTTATTTGCGATTGCATTGAAATAATTGTTGATAAATTTTCGTGCGAAGGTGTTTATTGATTGAAGGAGTGACGATTTCATAATGTTTACAAGTCATAATGCAGGTTCACAAACATGTGCATTTTACATGTGCGTGATGATATAATGATTGGTATAATTTCGTTTTGAAGAAATATTTTGATGATGGTGACAAGTGTAAATGATGTTGCAAATATAGAAATAGAAAGAAAAAGGAGATAATCTGATGAAATTACCAGTTATTATTATGTGCTTTGCTAATGCTAAGCTAACAAATATACGTATATATATCAACTTTAAAAAGAAGAATACTTTGTATATACATAAATATTTATATCGATAAAGGAATTTGCAAATTTCCTAAATTGATGGCTAGAAGGATTTCAAGAAGATTACAGCTCTTACTCATTTATTGTCTAGATGTAGTTAAGTTAAATTTATTTTTTTATTAACGTATCACTTCACTTCGAATTATTTGATAGCAACTTGTGTTTGCTGAACTATGTTAGTCAATGAAATTAGAGAAAGCTAAACACTAAATCATTCAATATTATGTTAATTTAATTGTAATTTTAAATATTCATAGTGATATAATAAAAAAAATGTAACTGTGATAAACATTTCAATTTCATCTAAAACATTTCAAAATTTTTACGCAAAATACATTACACTCTGTGTTTTCAATATAACTTTTTGTGGAAGTTTTTAATTTAGAATATTATAGCCTCAACATCAACTTATGGAAAAAGCTTTTAAAAACACAAACATATTTTTCTTGTCCTTATTTTAGAATTTTACTCAAATTAATGAACACTTGATTAATCTACATATGTATATGCTGATAAAATTTCGCAATATAAATTGAGAAAGAGCTGTTAATAAAATAATAGTAATAAATAGACCTTATGAATAAATCACTAAATTTACGTGTGGGTAATGTGCAAAAGTATTAAAAACGTTTTATTTAATTTCGGTGGTTTCATTAATAATAACCTAGTACAGATAAAACAATTTTACTTATCAGTGCGATTTTTGAGCTTTTTCGTTTATCGACTAAGGGGAAGAACTATTTGTAAGAGTTCTATTTTTATAAAATATATTCTCGAATGCTATAAGATCGATTATTCACAATATCACTTTTTCTAAGAATTTCCTCTTGACCTTTCAAAATATAATCGATCTTGTTTAACATTATGAGATTACAGAGTGGGAGAATTGTATTATCTGCAACAGCAATTATGATCACCATCGTTATTAGGTATTGGATGTAATCTGAAATTTCTCCTTCTGAATGCCTTTATAAGTAAACCGGCTTGTCACTGCTTCTCGTCATGTGTTCATATAATATCTATGTGTTTGACATTATTAAAAGATTTTTGTTATAATGGACAACGCATACAGAATACATTATTTAGCATGTACGTTATATTTACAAACATCCTTATAAGCATCATTAGTACGATTTTTTTTTATTATTTTGCTTATAACAACAAGTTTTTTCTAAATTATAATAGATAATTTATGTTCAAAAAATGACTGGTTGATATGGTGAAAATATTACTCACAAGTTGTGAGAGTAAGCAATAATTTGGAAATTGTAAATTGCACTTTAGTAAAAACGATTCTGGATGGAGTTGTGGTAAATATTTTTCCTGCGATTATACTTCACAGCATGAAAGTTTTGTGCACAAGCAGTTCGTTTCTTATGTTTGGATTAGTTTTAATAATTGACATAAATCTTTATTGTCAGATAAACTTTTGCAATTAGAGATATAAAATTGTTTTATTTTCAATATTTTCAGAGTTGGATTTACAATAATGAAAAGATTTTATTGCTGTTTTAGCTGAGAAATGGTCTGAGTTTGAAATTCTTTAATAATAACAAATTTTCTATGTCCCCCGGAAATTTGAAAAATTTTCTCTTTAAATGCCATTTAGATACTGTAAGTCAAATATTATGCGACATATTTTCAACAAAGATATTGGAAAAATATTCATGTTTGGCGATTTATTATGCCTGGCTGTCAAAATCTGTAAATATTATTGTTACGCAGTGAAATTTCAGTAGAAACTTCAAAATTTCAATGTCTTTCATTTCGACTATTAAAAGAATTAAGTTAATTGCATATTTTTCAAACAACTTCACTGCAAATCTATTATTGCTGGATATGAAATATGCCTTAAAGGTGATAACAATAGTGTAAGAGCCACAGGTTGACATCATTAAAATAAATCATGAAAGTTACTTATTGATCTTATTTTATACTTAAACGGAACTTCTCAATTGTCAAAAGTTTCGTTGAGAGTAAAAATATGTATGTAATTCCCGTGTCAAAATTTATGCCAATAAATATGAAATTTAATATGATTTATAAGGTAAGTTAAATTTCAAAACAGATACCTAACCCACATAAGTAAGATTTTTTTATATACATAATTTTCTTTTGAGTAAAAATCAGAAACAAAATATCAAACAACTTTTAATGAGATTTTTTGTATGTCACAAAGTTTTGCAACAAAGTTTTTCCCTTTTTCAAAATTATGTTGAGCACAATATTTTGAAAAATTTTGTTTTAAAATTTTACCACATGAAAGTAAGTTTTAATTAGAGTTTTGGACGTTAAAACTTTTTCTGAACTTCATATCAACATCAACCTTATAAGTATCTATTTTAATCCAATAGTGAAATAAAAATCTTTGATTAGGTCAAATTCTCGATAAAACAAAAATTATATATTTGTTTTTTGCTTACACCCGAATATTTTCATTACACCCACTTACTACTCACCATTTCGCAACCGCTCATTCCTGTCCCCGTTCCACTACTACCGCTAGCACCAGGCTGAACATTTCTTCCACCATTGTTTCTCGGCCTCACATTCTTATAAGGTTGAAATAAGACAAGATAAACTTTCGGTGTGAAGAGACAAGCCAGTACCACCGTTGCACTGATGCTCAAACACATACATAGACTTGACGATTGAATTTTATAGTCATTACTTGTACCAAAGTAAATTGCTATCGATGCGAGGAAAACAATACAAGTCGAATACATTGTGAATCCAATATATTTTGCTTCATTAAAGTTTTCTGGAATTTTTCTTGTTTTGAAAGCGTAAATAGTACAAAGTGGAACAAGAAATATGATAAGGATGAGTGAGATCATAAGGCTATGACCAGATCCTTTGCATGTTAAAACAGCCTGAAGAGGTGAAGGATAAACTTCACGTACATCAGGTGGATCATAAATAAGCCACGCTATTGATACAGCAAGTTGAATGAGCACAATACCTAGAGAAAGAATAAATTAGACGAATGTCATCATTAATTATGAGTCAACATAATAAACATCTTAGTTTTACACACTTACCGCTACATATGGCAACCTGAGATATTGGAGAAGTGTACAATGGCCTTTGTATGCTTTTAACTCCTTGATTGAATATTCTTGAAATGCGATTAGTTTTGATGAAAATTGCACTGTAACAGACACTAAGACAGAGACCAATTCCAACTCTGAGACTTGCACATGACCAAATATTTGGTGGAGCAAGTATGATGAACGACATGCAGTAGCAGCACAATATACCAGTTAAAAGCATGTAACACAATTCTCTACCAGAAGCCTTGATTACAGGCGTTTTGTTGTATCTATTTGATTTAAACGTTTATTGATTATTCATTATTATTAAATAGACAGAGGGAGAATTCAAACATGATTTAGTTACCTGATAAAAACGCATGTAGTGAAGATAGTGAAACAAATACCAAGCGAAGAAGATATCAAAGGCACGAGCGCCCATGGTGAAAGCCAATCAATAATTTCAGCTGGAATTTTGTCGCATCCCGTTATGTTAACATTTGGTCGCCAACCAGGACCACAAGACAAGCATGTGTCATTAAGTGCGTAGGCATCAATATTGCATTTGACGCACACCCAACAACACTGATCTTGGAAGTTGCGAATGGAACCAGCTGGACAAGGTTCACTACAAACAGACTTGGGCTCTCCACCCTGCCATTTCAATGAATTGAAATTCAAATTCAAGCTGTTCGAAAAGACATACATATATGTATATAGAAACAAATGAGTCAACACATGTTCTCAGTCATGTCGTCCAACTAATTATTTTTCAATTAATTCAAAATATTTACTCAACGAAAATAATGTTGATACATAAATGGCACTGACCTTTCTCTCCATGTTCCAATCTGAATGTAATCATATTTTGTGTCATTTTTTTGATATTGATAAATGTTGTAATAGCCCAAAGCATCACCGTCCTCATTAAATCTAATTTCGGTTCCCTGCGGGCCCTTGAAGGAAACATTGTGAATCGATTTCAGCATTTCATGACCTGGAATTGGTAGCAATGACTGCCAGCAATCATTGTCGTTAACATCACATTTCTTTTTGATAATGTCGTCAAGTGCATGTGCAAAAGCATAGACCGCATCAATCACGAACGGCACGAGACCTTCCTGTTCATATCCAACTCTTAAATCTTCATTACCCGAACATTTTGATGAATTATGCCACTCAACCTTACATTTATGTCGTTGTTCCCAGAACTCGTTGAACCAAATGTTACGACAATTGATGTAAGGCTGGTTTGCTTCGTTGCGTGATGAGAGACATTGACTTGGATATAGTTGGGGTTGAAGCGAAAGGAAATAATCGTTAAAGCCTACAAATAAATATGAAAAAAAGTTCATTTAATGGAATGACAATAATTAAATACTTTAAACTTGCCAACAGATTCTTTTCTGTGTGGAAGAACGGTTATTGTGTTAACAGCCGCAAATTCTTGATCTCTAACAGGATAAGATTTCGCACCCCATGAATCACTTGCAATCCAATAAAAATGTCCCGTCCTGTTTGCACGAATGCTAGCCCTAAGTAATCGCTTTACGTTGTCTTCATCGACGAACATTACAACGGCTCCCGCTTGTTTTTTTCTGTAAAGCCTTTCAATGATCTTATTAAAATCTTCTTCTTTCGAGTTACGTAAGATTTTCTCATTAACTGCGACACAAATATCCAGCTCAAAAGCAGCTTTCAAAAAACTTGCAATACCTTTCTCGCCATACTCTCCTTCGACAGCAACAGTTGATGCATAAGTTAACTTCAATATCTGAACAATTTCTGCTAGTGCTTGTGCTTGAAAGTTGTCAGGAGGGACGACACGTGAAAAATATTCAAAACGTGATTTATCTGATAATTCCACGCTTGTAGAGGCATAACTAATTTGCGGGATTTTGAAAAGACGAAGGATGTTTGCGACCATTATTGAAACCACGCTGAAAGATGCACCAATTACTCCAAGAACTGGCTTATGAGGACGATAAATGGGTGTTTCTCCATCTACGCATATATATTCAGACATATCCTATAAAAAAATTGTTGCACAATACTGTCTCTATTACTTCATACATATTTGTAAGAATATTTTTTATTAATTATTATTTAAGGTTATCATGGTTTGTTTATTATCTATAAAAGAGCCCGTGATCATGAACTATTCGCTTGACAATTATTGTACGGTGACAATAAATCCTTATTTGGCAATCCCCTTCTCGATTTATCCACGTACACAGTGTCACTATCGCTCTTGCTTTCAAAAGCCCTTTTTGTGCTATCAACCAATACACTATCGTATCGATCATATCGAAGATATTAATGAAAAATATTTCTCAATGACCAGAATAAATTTGAAAGCATTTCTTTGCTTTGATTACACACTCAAATGAGATTTTAATGGATCATTGATTACGATTTTAATTTTGGAAATATTTTTAAAATATTATTAAAATATGTCTTTTCACTTATAGCTCATTTGAATATCAGAAAGAAAAATTTGTAATTAGATAAATAGTTGGATTTTTAAGTTATTAAGCATAAGCATCCTTAGGCATTCAAAGCAATTTTCTGATAATTATTAGATAATACGTAATATAAAGAATGAATTTAATGAGAACGTAAGAAGGAAAAGAATTCAACTCTATGTATACGTTAATTGCTAGGTAAACTTACTTTATTCATGTAGTATCTGACAAATTCCATTGATTGCTCAAGTGCGTAAGTGTCACTGCTACAAGAATCTATAACAACTGTTCCAAGAGTTATATTCGGTAGAAGCTTTTCATCTCTGTTTATTTGATCAATGGCATAGAGCATTGCCTCGAGTCTTTGAATTCCTTTTTCTTCCTTAATAGCCCCACATGGGTAATCTCGATTTGCGCTTTTATGTTCATGCATTGGAAAAATACCTCCTAATATAATATCACCGGGTATGCGGATAATCTTTCCATTATTATTATAACTGCTACCAGAATCGATTGAATGAATCGTTGCCACAAAGAAATTAACAAAAAAGTAAACACTTAAACTAATTGAGCGTGTTACATGATGTCGATGACAAGTCATTTTATCTATTGATTTTATATTTTTCCTTGCCACACTCGATCGATGTACTGATTAATTTAATCACACAATGGAAATTGCAGTAGATTATTTAATTTTGTTGTTATTCTTCTTCTGATAGCTGAATGCTTCTTCCTTAAAGACGTACGTGTAGATAAGTATTGACACAACTTTTTTTTTTATCTTTAGCATTAATTCAATAATTTCAATTTCATGTCTTTACATTTCCTCAACACTATTGATAGCCACTCTTTCTAATCAATTTATTAGTAGATGAATATGCTGTAGATATTTTATTTAACATATTATATTAGAGTTTATTGTTTATACGAAATTTTGCGTTGCCATATTTTTTCTTGACACTTTATTAAATTGCATTAATTAATTTACTAGTTATCATATACTCAGCTTTGTTAAATAGTTGGTGAATTTTAACTTTAATATTTCACTAATCTATTAAATTAGAACATTAATTTTTATGTTAATCTTTTTCGCGTTGAAATGTATGAAATATGTAACTCCTCTTTCAACTTCCGTGAACTTCATCTGAACAGATGAATGAAAAAATTGAAGCTTGTCTTAAGTTGCCCATATTTTAAAAAGTTCAATTGAAGTATGTATAGATAGTCAAGCTCAAAATACAGATGTAGATTTCATGTTAATATCTACTTAGCTCAATATCATTTGACTGATTAAATAATTCATTCACAACGAGAAATCTATTTTTGTAAAATTCATCAGGCATAATTGCACCAATATAATAGAGTCCCAAACGCTTAAATAAAATCACTCACGAGTGATTTGAAGGAAATATCTTTGGGTCATCGCGATCATATCATAATATGTATGTGACATTTTCCAATTGAAAGAGTTCGATCTTTATTTTATTTCCACCCATTTAAACTTCCTAGCCTTTTTTCCATGTGATTTAAGTTTGCACATGAGGAGTGAGTTTTTCATTCTTCTCTTGCGTTACTTACGTTTGTATAAATAATTTACCAATCGAACCATTTTAAATATTTAATTTTCCAATTTAATTTCTACATCGCATGTCTTTACTTCTGCGTGTGTAACTTTTGCGTAAATTTTACTCTTCTAAGAAGAATCCCAAAAATAGATGAAGTGATAAAAAGAAAAAGTTGTTCACGTAGAAAATTGAATTCCGTTCATCCACCGGGAGACTTTTCATATTGAAGACACTCCCTTGACAAACATATTTTTAAGGGAAAAATAATTTGGCTTGAAGTTTCTCGCTTCGTCAGAAGCTCAAAAGTATTCCTTTACTTTTCGTAATGCCAATTACCTGCCATCTGGGAAACTCAAAGATTAGACATTGAAGACTAAATATCTAAAATGTCACAAAATATTTATCATCTTTTTGACATTTTCGTTCTGTATCTTCACGTAACTCTTTCGCGCTAATTAAAAACATATAAAATAACTGAGTTTTGTTAGGATAAGAAATAGGTGAATAGAATTGTATGCAAAATAATTATTATCTTATGCTTCAAATATAAAAAAAGTCTTTATGTGGCATAGCATCGAAGAAGAAAAAATAATGAAGAAAATTACAACCGCCAAGTCTTATATATCCCTAGACGACATTTCTTAATTCTAAATATCATCCGTAAATTATTCATTTGGCTTCATATTTTTGCAATCATTGCAAAGTTTTTTCTTACTGTTGAAATGAGTGAATTTTGAATGAGGTAAAACGATAAAAACTACATTAGAACGATGGCAAATATGAATTTCAATTTAATTTCATTCTATCTCAGATATTCTCTCTCCAAACTGCTTCCATCATTTTTAACTTTCTGCATAACTTCAGAAAAGCTCCACGACAGATTCAGAAGGTGGTTTAAAAAATAAAATGAACGACACCTTGCATAAGATTCATCTCAACCATTCCCGCTCCACTCTGTTTTTTCTTGGTCTCAAAATCTAATTTAAGTTGAATTTTTCATACTTTTGAGATAATTTAAAAATCCTTTTATTAAAACTGCTACAAGAATTCTAAATTTATAAAGTAGAATGAATTGAGAATTGAGTTACCTAAATGAAATGAATGAAACACACGCACAAACATCTATCCTGCTAATTTAAATAAATTTACGATTTTCTGTTAGTCAATTTTGAGACTCAAGTGCTTATATTATTTTCAGAAATAGAAGGATTAATATAATATACATGGAAGGATTGACATCATGTAGCAAAATTTTGACAGAAAAAACATATTTTATGATCTCTGATGGCCTGTGATTGTGCAGCTTTTCATATCTATTCTAAAGTTTAATACTCAACATACATCAACGATGTTTCTTTATGCAGTATATTTACTTTGTTTTCCCTGAAGCATTCACCATTACGGAAAAAATTCTCGTTCGGTGATTCGATCATAATGTCTATCTCCTGCCAATCGCATTTCTGTAACTGTTTATTTCTCCATGGGAGAACTTCTAAAAAATAAAAAAGGAAGTTGAATATAAGACATGAATGTTGGCAGTCATATTCGTTATATACTTAAAAATGACATTTCTTAAGTAATTTTACTTTTCGAATGTGCTGTCATTCATTCATTTTATATGACTTCCATTTAGCTTTTCATCCCTATGTGAGCGAACATTATCACAGGTCAAATTAAGCTAAGGCTTTGTAGATGCTTTTTTTTGACTAGTGAACAAAATTAAGTCTTGTAAATCCTCCCCCGCAAAAATATTTGGGCAGTGTAATTGTGTGCTAAAACTCAAAATTAACAAACTCTAAGGAGGTGAGTGAATAAATTCGAGATTGAATTATGAATATTTGATCCAGTCTATTCGAGAAAGGCCAATGACAATGGTTGAAAGAAAAAAAAAAGCAAAAACAAAAGATTTATCTTCACGCAATATTTTTCAGGGAACATATTTATCGCTATAATATGTCTCAAGAGATCGAAATAAAAAGCGAATGATAAAAATTTAGACTCTTGTGTATGTTTTTTTGCGTAAACCGTATTATTACGAAAACCAAACTTACGAATAAAGCCAGAGAGATCAAGGAAAAATACATAAATGAGTAGTGAAAAGAATTTACTAGTCTTAGCGGTAAAAAAGATGATTCAAAGCACCCTTTTCAACGGTGAAAATATTGTTTCTCCTTTTATTCTCTCTTTTATTCCCCAATAAAGAATTATTTTATATTTTTCGCCATTTCGACTGTCGCTAAACTTAATGGAGGCACAGATTGTAGAAAATTTTGTGTAGGTGGTTTCAGAATTCACCAGTTGTTGGTTATTCGGTTATCAACTTTTTTTTCACTTTGATTTAGGGAAATTACATCGAACGAACGGCTTATGATTTTTCACTTTGAAAATTTTAAGGAATTTAGTCGAATACATTCCGTTTATGGAAATATCATTCCAACTATGAGAAAATTATCAGCTAAACTTTTTGTTGCGCATAAAACTTTCTTATCATGGAGCTTATCATTCAAATTATAAAAATTCATAAGAATTGTACTCCTTAATTAAAACTCATTGTCCAAGGATATGCACATTTGATTATATTTCATAAAGCACAAGCCATTTTCAAACATGCGAAGACTGATTGGCGCCTCCAACCTAATAATATGATAGCAAACAATCATAAGAAAAAAAACTATTTGTTATCCATAATCACTCATTATCCATTACTAAAATACTTTTAAAACTTTTTTCTTATTTGTTCACCACTTTGAATGAATACGAATTATTTTCCCACCATATTTTTCGAACACTCCAATCTGTCTTCATCGCAGATTTACCCAAAATTCTTCACAAATTTTCTTTATGACCATTTCTATACGCACGCACGGAAAAAAAATGAAATGGGAACCATATCGATAGGTCTCTGATTATCAACTGTAGTCGCGTGCTGTCGTTTTGGTATTTTATCTGTTTGTAAAAGGACTTTGACTGTTGAGAGGAAGAATTTCATGGGAAATTATGAGGAAAATTCTTGACTGCTCTCTTTTTATTTCCTTCTGTTTTTCAATCAAGAGAGACGATGAGAGAAAATTACAGGGCTTTTGGAAAGTATGATGTAAGTAATGACGTCAAATGTCTGCCGGGATGTGTATTTTCTTTGCAAAGTTTCACTCTTTTGCGAGACTTACAGCATCCATTGTTATTCCAATAAAACCGTTTCACTCACTTGCTCTCGATATTTTCCTATCAAAGTCTGCATAAAAAATCGACAATAGTTTTACAGATGCATATATTAAAGGAAAAAGCTTTAAAATTTCATATAACGGACAACTTTTAAGACATTATATCGTTTTAAATTTATATTTAATCGTTTTGGGAGCTTTTAAAGCTTTCAATATCTCCCAAAACTTTTTTAGAATGTTTCTGTTTGTCTCTCTTTTGTCTCTCAATCGGTTTTTATTTTTCAACATATTTCTCTCTGAATATATATGTTCGCTTTCCAAAGACTTTTTCATATCAATATATCATGTTGTTTTCATTCAGTAAACATAAAAATATTTGCAGTTATCCCCTTTCCATTTCTAATTTCAACGGGTCTATGTCCACTGTCTTATTCGAATAAATTATTTCTCTTGCCATTCTCAAGTTTGTATTCTAGTAATAAATATGATGGACGGGTTCAATTCTCAAACCCAGTTCCATCTCTTGCTTTTATGATTTTGTTTGTTTTTCTATTTTATCCCTTCGAGATGATGCGTTCACATAAATAAATTGTGTTGTATGGTCTAAGACATTTCAGTCTTAAAATACATCGTTAAATCCTGAGTTGCTTTATACATATAATGAGACAGAATTCCGCAATTTTTTAAATATGAATTTTTTTTCCATAAGAACAACTCAAAATGCGCTAAAATATCTTGAAAATCCTCCATTTATCCTTTCCTTCTTCGTAAATATTATTTTTTTCTTCTTCTGCTTCTTTTATGAAGAAACTTATTTTGTTCTCACCCGGAATTCCTTTTGCGCTCCCCTTATTTCCTTTCATCGACCTCATCTCGTTACACAATTTTATAATCTTCGTTTTACTGCGCGCTTATCATTTTTCGGTTCGCTTATTTTCCTTTTTCTCATGCTATCACTCAAGTCTTGACTCAAATTTATCAAATTTGGAGGAAAGAAATAAATGAGATTTGTTTCGGACGAGACTCAGTCAAAATTGTAATAATAAATAAGAACGAAGTGTTTTTTACCTAAGTGAATATTAGAATTCAATTGAAAACGGAAGGGAAGCAAACTGATAACATTCAAACTTTAATTTCGTTTAAACTTCATTCTCTGTATTACGTATGTACATGCATTAAATCCACACAGAAGTAACAAGTACATATTTTAATTTCAGACAATGTATGTAGATATTAATATGAATCGATGAGCGCTGCGCTTTGTGATAACTTCAACTGAGGTGTTACAAGGTATTTTTTCCTTTATTTGTTATTTAGTTAATTAAATGGTTTCCAATTGAATTCGTTGGTAGAAAATCTAATTTTAATCAATCTTCCTTTAACAGATTTTTATTGTTGCTGACGAAGCTCAAATCTTTTTCATGACAAGATGGATTCGACTACCTTTTACGTTATCAAAGAATTCTTAATTTCGAAAGGACATAAATTTCTACTACAAGTTGCACATACATTAAGAGGATAAATACATTTGAGTTTTCAAAATACTCAGGAAAGTTTCTTTTATCCCTTTGTGACGTTAAGAAATTTATTTACGGTCACATTTTATTTTCATAAAGAAGACTCTTGAAACCTCAGGAAATTTATATTTTAACGAGTCCTTAAAAGAGTAAAATATTTTGAATATTCCACAAATGGTCATAATTTTTTTATGTAGATATATACCTATCATAAATATGTAAATATGTATCAAATGTTGACCTGGCTTTTTTAAACCTGACTTCATTTTACATTCAGACTTTTTTATCACGTAAAACGTATTTTGCAATGACTCGAGACAATAAAAAAGAAATGAAAAGAAACTCAGGAAAGCGTGTTACAAGAACTATTTCAAAGCATAATGAAAGGAATGAAGTTCGGTTAAAGGAAATAAATAACATCTACTAACTGTGCATATGTGAACTTTTGGTATAAAATTCATTTTTTTAATTTTGTATTTTTAAAATTAACACTTTATTGAGAAAAAGTTATTATTTTATAAATGAAATCAAATGGCATATATGTAGGTATATTTGCAGTAAAATTAAAGAAACCCAATTTATAATTTTTTTCTTATATTTTATACATGAGAAACCTTTTATAAAAAAATTAGAAGTTTAAAATCAAAAGTTTAAAATTATTTATGACAAACGAGAATTTCATGAAATTATAATTTTTCTTATTTTACGTAAATTTGTTTAAACTTCAACCATTAGTAATTTTGAAGCTGATGAAAATATGTTTAAATTATGATCCTATGCAATAAATTTTCTTTGCTGTCTATGATAATTGAGCTTTTGTTTTAACCTCTTTGTGTCTTTCTTTGTAACTGTGAATTACGAAGAAAATAATGATGGATTGAACAGAAATATTCGAGTAGAAGGTAAAACTTACTTGAGGTAATAATCTTTGTTGTTTAGCTTTGCATCTTGTTTCAGCAAAAAGTCCATTGGCTAAGACACATTTACATTCACTTTCGACTTCTGTACGTGTAATGGCATCAGCTAGAATGTAGCCGGCAAGAGTAACAAATCGCTTTTTATCCGTTTGATAGTTTTTGAGATTAAACACATATCCATGTTTTCTTGTCAAGTCAACACCCATGTCTATGCATTTATTAGAGTTTTGTGTTAAATTGAATGTTATTTGATTTTTACGCCACAATTTACCTGGTTCATATTTAAGCTTACTTGCAACATCAACAGATCCCATGCTTGCTCTTGTTTTCTCTTTAACCAAAACAGCCACATTGTTGTTAAAACCTTCGTAAATAATTTAGGAAATGAATTATGTAGATATTTATGAAATTCCACGAACAAAGAACTTTCAAAACAACATACCAACGATTTTTTCCTTTTTGTCAGCTGGTTCAATGATGTCTACAGGCATAACGGCATGAACTCCAATACCACGTTCGTAAGTAGCAGCGGAGCTGATCTCAGCTGCTACCAATTTACTCTAAAATTTCAAAGTGTTATTCTTTTTATTGCTTATAAAATTTATATATTTACTGGATTTGTTGAGTATGGAATTCCATTCGCTCGGAATGCTATGATTGTCTTTGAAGCTGTAGGTCTGAATGGGAATTTCATTGCTCTTTGGAATGCTCTAGCATCGGGTGAAACAGAGAGATCTTGAGAGGCTTGCTCTGCAACTTTTTCAAGCTCAACCAATGCTGCATCAAGTTCATTTTGGCCAGTCTTCAATGGTTCTTCCTTTGTTGGACCAGTTGATTTTTTATTCACGAAGTTTCCTTTGTAATTTAATTTACCGTTTGTTGTGTATTGATGGACATATATATCATTAGCATTATAACCAATCGCAGCAAATTGAACATCAGTTACTCCTACATTTCTCATCTCTTTGCGCAATTCATTGACCACTTCTTCAACAACAACTAATTGCTTATTAAGATTAGTATCAAAGACAATAACAATATCAGCTTTGTTTTGTGGCGACTTGACAGCAACTTCATCTCCAACATCAAGCGAATTTTTTCCGACTGAACATCTACTACAAGCTTTAGGAATTGATATAGGAATATGTTCTTGACGACATCTGCTTGCATACGTTGTTACAATGTTACATGCAGCTTTTTGTTTATCTTCAGCTCCGTGAGTTGCATGTTCACAAGCTTCACGATAGTTTGCCGGCTTAACAAAGAGGAAACACATACGTAACGATGAGTCGCGCCCAAAGTATTGTGAACAGAAATCATTTGAATGTGATTTGGAATGATCGTCGCCTGATGTTGTAACAGCAGCACAATCTGTTCGTGTTCTGTAAGCATTTCCAAGCTCACTTGTGCTCTTTGTTATCTTTCCGTTTGGAAGTAAGTAATCGTCATAAGGTTCATTGTTTCCATTTCCTAAAAGACCACGAGTTTTACCCGAATAAAAACCTGAAACACTTACATGGCAAGTGGTTAAGTCTTCTGTACATTGAACCTGAGCACCGTATTTAGTGAGAAGAGATACTGTGTAGTAATCTCTCCATGCATGTAGTGTCTTCTGATGATAAGGAAATTCTACATTTTTGCCGCTCGATTGAAGAACGCTATCTTTGTTGACATCCATGAATCCGCTCTTATCGGTTAGTGAAATTGATTGTAACTTTCCATTATCCATATTAGCAACAATACTGAAGTTTCCATCAACGAAATCTCTCGAAAGAATGTAACTGCAAGTGCCAGGGAAAGTCAAGTGACGTCCATCAAAAGTGAAAATGTGAGAACCATCGGAAATTTCGGCATGCAATGTGAATGGAGGAATAAATTCTATAGGATTAAAAGCATATGGACGATACAAATAGACGAGGTCATGAAGATTGAAAATTGGCTCGCTAAGAAGTTGATTCAAAGCACTGAAGCGAACATTTGTTACAAATGGAGGTAAACGTTTGAACATGTCAAAGTTTATTGTTGTTGTCAAAGATGATGTTGAGAATCCATCAATAAATTGCTTCTTAAATCCTAACAATGCATCAATGAACACTTTGTAGATTTCTTTCAAGACTGTCATGTCGTCAATGTCTTCACCATTCATTTTCTAGAATTTAAAACATCGTTAAAATATTACCAAAAATGAAAAAAAAACATCTTAAGAAAGGAAAATTTCACCTTTTGAACATAATCTGAGAACTTTTCGAAGAATGGTTTCGCCTCGTCTGGAACAGCGTGTGCAAGTGAGCTGAGAAGTTCAGCAAGAACAAGTTTTAATGTCTCCAATGGAGCAAATTCACCAACAAGTTCAGCATAAGTTTCTTTGATATATTCAACTCCTGGAAGTGATAAGAATTGTTGTTTGAGAAGTTCAAAAAGATCTTTTAATTCCTGGCAGATTTCCTTGCTGTACTGCTCCATTCCTTCGTAAATTCCAGCAGTTGTATCCTTCAAAACTTTCGAGATTTTATTAAAATCGCCTTCAAATGATTTTAAAGCTTTGGCTATGCGTTCAAAGACAGCAGATAAAAGTTTCAATGTTTGCTCGTAAAGTTCAGATACAAGTTTTTGTACAGCATCAAATAATTTTTGTAATTGAGGCAAAATTTGTTCATTGAATGCTTCAATAGCAACGATTGAATATTCACGAATTGCATTCTCAACTATTGACATTTGCTTTTCAACTGCTTCCAATATTGTGTTGTAAGTTTTCGCCAATTCGCTTATAATTGCTGATAATTGATCAATGAATTTTTTCATTGAGGGATCTGCTTGCAATTCGTTCAAAAGTTTGTTGAGTTCTTCTCTGTATTCATTTTCCAAGCGATCGAAATTTGGAGAAGCTTTCGTGATAGTGTTAAGTTTTTGTTCATAGAAGCTTTGAAGTTTTCCTAACTTATCTTTCATGTAAGTTTCACCATTCTTAAGATCATTCATTAGGTCTTTTTGTAAATTACTGGTGAATTCTTTCATTTCAACATCATTAATATGATAATTTGAATTCAAGAAATGTCCTTTGTCTAAAGAAATTTTTCCATCGAAAATTTCTTTATTCGAACCTTTGACAACGAGATAAATATCTTTACCAATCGTATACCCACTGTTGACATTAAAAACTGGTCTCTTGCTTATTGTAAATGTTCCTTGTGTCAGCCCATTGATCGAAGCGGTTTGTGTTATTTTCTCTGAGCCCAAGAATTTCAATGAAGTGGCAGTCTTAAAATCTTGTTTCTTCAGATCATAATTAGCAGAAGATTTCAATATTTCTTCTCCAAATGTTATCACTATTAGTTCTGCGCTTTGTTCATTGACGAAAGCATTCATACCAAATCGGAAACCATCAATTGGCATGGTTAATTCATTGCCCATGGTGAATAATCGTTGTTCAAATGAAAGTCCAAAATGTTCATTGTATTGGAGATTGAGACCAAGTCCCTTCGAAACAATTTTAACGTTGCTGGTGATATTGAATCCCTTTCCTGAAGCATCGGTATTACCAAAGCTTACGGCAACAATAATTTTGTCATTAGGATTCTTAAAAATGTCAAGTTCCAATTTTGATATGACGTCCATCTTATCAGCATTCGCTCCAAATTCGCCATTGACACGAAGTTTCTTAACACGCGGATGTTCAAAATAAATATTTCCATTTGCAGTAATCTGATTGTTAGCAGTCTGATCTAATTTCCCATGGAATCCTATTTCGGTTTTCTGCTTTGGTTTATTTTTTTTATCCAAATAGAAAGCAACTACAGCATCGTAAGCACCAAAGGGTGACCGTCCTGGATATTTGTAGGAAGAGTCCAAAGCTACTTGACGCGTTGGCATTGAAAATAATGCTTCAGCCTTATTTGGAGTGATTGTTACAGAATATTGATATTCAGGCTCCTTATTGTCTTTAGTTTGTAAATGTGCATCAACTGAATGTAAGAATTTCCAACCGTCTCGACTTGTGTCAGCTTTCAATCCAAACTCATGAGAGAAGCCAACCTCACGTAAATCAACTGTTATGAAAAGATTGTGTTTGAATCCATCGATTGAAGCAGTGTCAATTTTAGATTTAGTTTCAAGATTTGTACAGCGGTTTTGTGGTTCACAACCGGTATACTTCACATGGAACTCTTTATCAGTTAATTTAAATTCTCCTGCGTGCGTTCTTTTTCCGATGAACACATTTAATATTCCACCAAAACCGGTTTCCTTATCTCGATTTCCATCAAATATTGTTCTTATTAATTTGAAGGAAACTTCATCAGATTTTCCGTCTGTAAGTTTAATCGTTGATTTCCCTTCAATGACTGTTCTTCCTTTTTCAACCTTCGTCGTAAAGTCACTCGATCCCGAAGCAAGATGAGATCCGTCTTTGCTTACGTGAAACTCAAATCCTGATCGATGAGGATCGTCATTCTTCGATTTTATGTCAAATTTGAAGTGTTTCAAGCCAAGTGCCGGGCTATCAATTTCTCCATTAAGATAGAATTTCTCAAGTGATGACATATCTGCATCAACATTAGAAGTCAAGTCAAAGGACTCGACATTTTCGATGACGAGGTTTCCTTTTCCTTTCAACTGTGATTCGATATTTGCATCAGCTACAATTTTTGAGGTTCCTCGAGGACAAGTCCAAACGACTTTAAATTTAGGATTCTTTTCAGACACTCGATGTTCATAATCGAGATTGTAAGCATTACTGTCAGCTTTCAGATTAACATTTGCCACAATTTCATTTATACTTGGTTTCAAAGCATTCATGTGGAATGAAATCTCCTTGAAACTTTCTAAATCTCCACTCATTCCGATATCAATTTTAAGACTGTCAGCTTTCTCCATTTGTGCATTGAAAGTTGTTTTGAATTCTTTGTTGTCTCCATATTTTACTGTTAACGAACCTTCTCCTTTATCTACATGATTGCAACCAAAGGAAACTTCACCAGATATTGAATTTATATTAGGAAGTTGAATTTTTGCTGTACCAGAACCTTTTGTCGGTGACATTTTCATGTCAGTGTCAAATTGGAATTTGTCTCCACCTGCATCGACGGAACCAAAATATCTGCGAACAAATTAGCAATAAGAAATAAAGATTTAATTTGAAATATTTAAACTTACTTAACAATGTACGTGCCATCAGGAGTTGCAGGTTCAGTGAGTTGTCCATTCGAAGATAATGTTACCCTTTGAAGTTTCGTTTTGGGAATGTTTAATGCACCATTGAAATCATGGGAATGTGGACGTTCTTTTGTAGCGACATAATACTTGCCATTGACATCAATATCTCCGAGTTGACCGTATTTTCCATTAAAGCTATAAATGGCATGATTTGGACAATATTCCTCGATTTTAATATTGAACGTTACAACTTCAGGAACAAGTGTGCCATCAACTTGAAGCAAACCACTGGCAGTAGAGAAATGCCCTTTCTTTAAATTTTTTACACCAAGCTGAAATTTGGCATCTTTGTTGTTATAACCCCGATATTTCAAAGAGCCAGTGAAATCAAAGAAACCAGCTGCTGGGCTGAAATCACTCATTTTCATATCGAGTATAGCTTGTCGTTGTTGCTTGTTTGGCAACTCATCAGTTGCTGTCACATGGAAATTTCCATTTCCTTTATTATTTTTCATGCTTACTTCACGTTCTCCTTCTACTGACAATTTTCTTCCAGTTGGAAGTCCAACATTCACTGATCCCGTCTGTCTTCCATTAACAAATGTTCCATCATTTGAAGCTGCAACATCAAAGCTGTAACGTTCACTGAAAACTTCAACTTCATTTTTGGAGTCAAAAGATTTTGTGTCAACATTGTTCTTTGTTGAGAAATAAACTTTCTTAGCATCGTCGTAGTAGATATCAGTTTCAAAGTTATAAGTTGGCTTTTGTATCGTAAACTTTGAAGCGGCTTTAACTCTTTTATCTTTTACAGATGCATTGATGACGGCATTACCTTTTCCAGCTGTTGATTGAAATGTTCCATCAGCTTCAATAACATCAGTAACAGATGCTTTCATTGATCCAACCATATTGTTACCGTAAGTAAGTTTCGATTCAAAACTAGCGAATTCTTTCTTAGCTACTTTGACTTTAGAGCTTGCTGAATGTTCTTTATCAGTGTTTTTAATTAAAATTGTAATTTTTGTAGCTTCTTTCTTTTGTCCAGGAGTGAAACTTCCTTGTATCGATACATCTGCGTTCGTTACTTCGAATCGATGTCCAATCTTTCCATTTAATTCAACTTTCAATCCGGTGGATAACTCCAATTTGTTCTCAACCATGGAAGCTTCACCTTCGATATCACGTTTCATATCGAGTTTGATTGACTTTTGATTAGCAGCAGCATAAACTGAAGTATCATAATCATGCGGCATTTTTTGTGAATATTTATTATTCAATATGAACTCAGCCTTCTGATTGCTGTACTCAAGACCAGCATCAACGTTAATGATTTTTTTGCCAAAATCACCGTTCAGACGACCTTCAGTATTAAATTTTCCAATTTTAATTCCGTTCTTCATTTTGAAAAGTTCTTTGTTACTCCAGTCGGCAAATTGGTTCCACTCAAATCTGTTTGTTTCGGATTTAAGATTTTTGTCCCACACGATTACCAAATCGTTTGCGACATTTTTATCAGTAAATGTTACGCCATATGTGAATTTTCCATTTGCTTTTTCATATTGTGGACTGGTCAATTGAAGATCACTGTTGAATTGACCTGGTTGATAACTGAGTGTGCCCGATAAGTTGACGGTATTTCCACCACGTTGGAATCTCAGATTTGTCAGTATGTTTGGTCCATTCATTTCAACTGAACCATCGACTGTTGTCGTCGTAGAATCGCGACCAAATTTCACTTGTCTTAATGTGTATTTAACACCATTCGCTGTCTTTTCTTCAAGAATTCTTCCTTCCAAATAGCTAATATCAGTATTAATATTTAAAATCGGCTCAATCACATTTTCTTTTCTTTTAAATCCAAGTTCATATTTGAAATTTTCATCCAAATAATTTCCATTCAAATAAACTTTTTTCTCATTTTCTTCATTCAACACGCCTAATGCAGAATCGAACTTAAATATGAAATCATCTCTTACTGGAACGAAAAGATCAACCCCACCCATAAAATGTTCAGATTTTAAGCTTGAGAACAATTTGAAGAATGTTTGCCTTTGAATGCCACCCTTAGGTGTGTCATAATAAAAGTTGATGCCAGGTTTTGAGGGATCTAAAAATAAATTAAATTATCAAATGCTTACGAAAATATTTAATTGCAATCATCACCTTTATCATCGAACTCAGCACTGAACTTGAGTGCATCAACCATTTCTAATTTTACACTAATGTGATTGTTTCCATACAAAGGCCATGGTGCATTTTGAGTTACATTCATTGGTGTGTAGTTAATGGAAGTACAGAAAGTAAAGCCTGTCAAGAATTCTACTTGATCGAAACAAAGTTCAGTGATGCGACTAAAATATATTTTAAATAAGAGTTCATTATTAATTGTGGAAAGAGAAATAAAAGAATGTTATCTTACTCTTGAGCGCTCTTGAATTTTACTGGAACTTTAATTACTTCTCGGCCACTTTCTTGTGAAACTGTTGAAATTTGATGTGTCAAGTCGATAACATATTGTTCCTTTACAGTTGGGATTGTAGAAATTACAAGATTTTTGCCACCTTTCATTTCTACAGTGGTGTTAGCTCCAGTATTTGTGTACACTGTACCAGAAACTTCTAAAGCAGTTTCATAAGCGTATGAGCCAAAACCTAATTGACCAGAAACGAAAATATTAGCTGCTGGATTCAATTGAAGTTGAACTTTAGAGTTGAGTGGATTTTCAATCAATTCTTTAACATCAAAGGAACCAGAAACATCAACTTTCACTGCTGAAGAACCGGTGCTGGTAAGTCTGAAAGGTAAACCAAAAGCTGTTGGATAAGTAATCTCCGCATCTAACCAAAGGGCATGATTTTCAAAGTTGTATTGGAAGTTCTTAAGAGCGTCAACACCTTTGCTTATTTCTGATGCAAAAAGTTTGAAAACGTCATTTGGAGTTGATGGAATATTTTTGCTTATTGACAGGAAATAAAGTTCGGAACCGAAAACTTTGACAGACAAATCGATGTCAGGATCGCGATCATATTCAACTGGATTTTTAACGTTCTTATCAAAAGCAGCTAAATCAGCTGGTAAAGCTCTCTTTTGACGATTCAATGTTGAAACTTCCTTCGTGATGGCATCATACAAGTCTTGTTTACTCATTGTATTTACAACACCACGTGGACCGAAGTAATGTTCCAATAATTCTTCCACATTTTCTTGGCGAGCAGATATTTCCAACATGTTGAAAGCCGATCCAAATAAATTTCCCGTAACATTCAAACGTCCAGATCGTGGTAAGAAACTCTGTTGACTATAAATAACTGATGCATCTACTGCAGATCCTAATCCAAGGCTATCAATTGCATAGGAAATTTCACGATTGAAGGAGTAACGTCGGGGATCAAATGGATATTTTTTACTAGTTCTCAAATTTTTAAAATGAGCACGTGTGGCTTCACGTTTGGGATCAGTAGACGCTTTTATGGAGTCCAAGTGAGTATTGATAAACGATCCAACTTGAATAACTGGTTCAGAATCTCCACCTGCATCCAAAAGAGCTTGAACATCGTTTGCTAATGATCCAGATGGACATTCCATTGCAGCTAAATAAGCCTCAATTCTCACCTCAGAGTCTTCGTCAAGGTTTTTCATGACAGTAGTGGCTGCTTTTTGTAACTTTTTATTACATGGATTTGCTGGAAAAGCTTGCAATGCTGCAACTCGAACACGATTAGGATTTCTATTGCTAGCACACTGAACGATACGATCAAGAGCAGTATTAAGAATCATTTGACTATTTCTTATGCCCTTCAATACAGCCACAAGATGTTCTTCTTCTTTCTTGTTGCTTGCCTTACAATCCTTTGGAATTTTCGCAATAAATTTGTCTGCAATTATTTTAACATCTCGATCCTCGCAACCACGTTCTCGACAGAATTTGTTGATGACATTGCCGACACTTAAATATGCCTCTTTGGGAAGGTTCTCATTAAAAAGTTTAGCTAATCCATTAATTGCGTCTTTGCGACTATCTGTTGTTACGTGTTGAACAAGATTGAAGCTCAAATACATGAGTTTTAATTCCTTTTCGCTGAGTTCTTTCTTTGCTAAATCAGCAAGAGCAGCGACTGAATCACCCGTTCCTGTTCTGAAAAGTGCATCGAGAAAGACGTTTCGGCTTATCTCTTTCATATGAGATGAGCTCTGAAGCTTGCTAAGTTTTCCACTTTTCATTTCCTACATTTCATTCATTTTAGAAGACAAATAATAAAAATTTGACTCATACATTTGAATGATAATCATTTTGAAGTTCATTGAACTTACCTGATAAGCTGTGAGTAAATCAGCCTTCTTACCCAATCTCATGAGTCGAATGATATCAGCAAACGTTGCTGCTGATTTTGAACTTATGACGCCTTCTTGTCCAGTAAACTCTGCCAGTGTTTTCTCAAAAGCAGCTTTTATGGAGTCCTTGATCGACACTTTCGGATTTGCCATGTTTGAATTAGTTGCTTCAAAAAGAAGCGTTCTCAAGGCTGGACTTTTAATTGCCGGACCTTGACCTGCAACTTTTTTCTTCAAATTCATCTTGGTGATGACCTTGGCTTTAGCTCCGTGTTTTTGCGTACTAAATGGCATAAAATTGTACGATTCTTTAAGTTCAATGCTTTCCAAAACTCCGTTCTGAAATTTAGCATCAGACTCTACTTTTCCATTAATGATCGGTGATGATTTTATTTCAGAAGAATCAAGAGTTATGCCTTGAATTAACCCATTTGAAAGCTTTTCCCTGTAAGCGCATTCATTGAGATCTCTTAAGCTTGTGACAGTTGTGACTCCACCTGACTTCGAAGTCGATGTCGATATTGGACATTTACCAAAAATATCAAATGAGACTTTTCCTTGTCCAACTTGAAATGCTGAAATGACTCCACGCTTCACATTTAAACTGAAAGTTCCATCATTCTCTTCAGCACATATCTCAGGTGCTAATTCATCACCCGAAAGAGTAAACTGCACTGGATATTGGAAATCTTTCTGAATAGAAATTTTACTGTTGTCAGCACCAAAAGCATTTAATCCTTTCAACACCAATATATATCCACAATTGTTGTTGGCAGTCACAAATGCTTGACCCTTGATAGCGACTGAAGTTTCAACCGAATCTTTATTTATGAGTTGGGCTATCGCTATTGATTCAAAATCGTAAACATATTGTTGACCAGGAGTTGGGGCCAAAAGTGGAGTTTTATTTGATGAAAAACATGTTGGCGTTTTGCAGTTTTCTTTAAGAAATGAAAATTTAAAACATTATTTTTATTCATAAATAATTTATTATTATAATTATTTAAAGGCAAATGAACGAATTTTGCACTCGAAGATATTTTTTATAATAATAGCAACAATTAATTACTTAAGTAAGAAAAATTAAACCATTCGGTGTTTGTCATAACTCTTATCTTATTTCCAACTCATAAATTTGAGCTCAAATTTCACCTCAGGGTCAGTGTGAACCGAGAATCGCAGTAGTCAGTAAGTGTAAGCGTCTGATAACACCCAAGTAATGAATTAATTTTCAATGTTAATAACATAATCGCATGTCCTAAAGTTTTATTCAAATAAAATCAAAAGAGAAACTTTAAGAGTTCAATGTTTCCTTCGTTTGAATTTTCCTTTAAAGTCATATCTTCGGTAAATGTTTGAAATATGTTTATAGACATTTTTGTTTTTCAGCCCTTACTTGTGTTGATGATAATCAAACAGATAAGTTCAAAAATCTAAGTAAAATGTCAACAATAACGACAATGATTCATAATTGTTCCTTTTTATTCAAAATAGAAAGAGAGACAATAAAAAATAATAATGAAATCTGTCATGATAACAAGGTAGTAGTTTCATAAAAAATATCTCATGAAATATAAACAAAACTGTCGAAAATGATCGAGACGATTCTCTTCATAGGAAAATTACATCAAAATCATAAATTAGATTATTGACCGGATACAGAGAATAAAGAAAGCGATCGTTTAATGACACATTCTTATTTTAACGAATGTGACTTCAAAAGATATATGAAAGTAGATAAATAACTTACCAGCTAATGCAACGGCAATAATTGCAAATATACAAATTTGGACTCTTAGCGAGCCCATGTCAGTTGAAATGTTTTCTTTCTTTAAATATATGCACTTCTATTTTTATGCAAAAATTTAGCCAGATATTTTTCTGTAACTTCTGGCACTGAAATAAAAAAGAAATATTTCAATTTATTTATCTTAAATTTTAATTTTCACTGATTTTTGTGATTTTTTTTAAACTTCAATTTTATTTTCTTCACTTTGAGGTTCACTTACACTGTGATCACTTATGAAAATAGACACTTTTCTGGAGTAGAGTTCCAATCTTCCTTTTCTTACAGTTGCCTCAAAAACATTTAACTGAATGGTTAATGCTAGACGATGCAGCGGCTTTTATACAAATTTTAGGACGCAAGATGAAACAATGAGAATAATAATAGTCATCGAGAATCTTTATAAGAGAAATCAGAGAGATATTCTCGTACCAGCAGGGGAGAAATGCTCTTGCTAGTCCAAGAAGGAGAATGTCTAAAATGTGCATTGTTGTTATACATTTTTGATTGATAAGAATAAATAATTATGAGAAATTATGAATTTCTTTTTTTTTCATGATTAATTTAATCTACCTAATTCGTTCTTGCATTTTCATAAAAATCAATTGGCAGTGTAATACATTCTATGACTTTAATTTAAGAGGTTGTTGAAATGTTTTTATTTCATCCTTAATTGAATGTTAATAAAATAATTGACTGAAAAACTTGTTGTGCTATCTTGTCTTGGGCAGAGTTGAGTAACTGCAAAATAGATTTAAGAATGGCAATATTTTATTAATCACTTGGTATATTTCAAGGGGTAAATCATCGTAGTGCTTCTGCCGGCTGCCTCCAAATGAAGCATCGAAAATCACTAGTGCTCTTCAAGAAAAGTGGCCTTTTTCCAAGAATTTGCTTACTTTTTCTTGGAATTTGTCTAGTGCTTCAATGCGCCAATGGCGCTTCTGCCGGTCATTTTAATTCGATGAGCAGTCTCTTGGTATATTATTAATTTTAAGTAAATAATTTTTGTTACATTTCTCTCACTTACTTTTATTTTATTAAAATTATCACGTTTAACTTTTTTTCTTTGGAAAATATCTTATTCTATATAAATCTCAAATAAATTTCTTTTCATAAATTTTACATCTTAAAGTTTCAATAAGCATTTTTAACTGATCATGATTATATCTAATACTAATGTGATCAACTAAATTATAAGAGATTCTTAGTTTTTTTTAATGAAATATTTATTGTTTGAATTCAATGAATGACGACACTTACTTATGTGTTTGCTTATGTGTATTTTATGAATTCATCATAAGTTTTTACTATAGATTGATTCTTGGCGTTTGGTATTTTAATAATGGTTTGGAAGTTTAGGACAATTCGGAGTCACAGTTTTTATTTAGAACTTTTTCATAATGCGCTTTCGTTGCAGCTTCTCTTTTTGATTTCGTCATATGTTGAAAATGGACAATATGAATATTAGAGTTAAATTTGTCTATACCAGATTTATCTTGAAAGTTTTGTGGGTTCTAAAATATTGATTAAAATTTTACAAAATAGTTAATTTAAATTTTGCAAATTTCTTAGCAAGAATATTTTATATCAAATCTCTTACATTATCCCATTCATCATCGGATTGAAAGTTTCCAGAAGCATTATCGATTTTACTGCGCTTTTCTCTTTCGTTTTTTATCGTCTCTTCGTCATTTTTAAACTTTCGTTTCGAGGTTTCAACTAACAACATCGTTTGTACTTTACTTGGACAATGTTCCAAATGAGAAGCATACTCAGATTCTGCGATATGATGTGTAGAGTTAAATTGACAAACTTTTATGTCATTTCTTTTGTAAGAATTACGACAGTTCCTCAAATGTTTTGGCATTCTATAAAAACAAAAATTGTTATTTTTTACATTGGAAGCAATTGTTTTTTCTTAAAAATATTAAATAATACCTCAAATTTGAAACGACATGTGCCTTATTATAAGGACAGATTAGCATGTCATTTTTCTCTGTATCAGACATTGTAAATGAAGAACTAAATAAAATATACCTAGATATTTCAGGATTTTTTTGTTTATTACAGCCTTTCGAATATTCGAATTTGTTTTTATTTAAATGTGTGAGTACGATAAATAATAAAATTTGAACATTTTAAAACAGTTATTTTTCAATGTTTTGTTTCCATTAAACTTAAATTATCTACCTATTTAATGTAGACATACATTATGCATTGTTTGATTACATTAACTTTATAAATTAATTTTTATTTCATATGAGGAAAAACAGTAAATAATTGAATAATTAATAGCTACGCAATTTGTATTTAAATAATTAGTGACGCATGAACTCCAGAAACGTCAGCAATTTGATCAGCATATTTGATAATGACTGCAAATACTATGCACAAAAATGAATTTTGGCTTATTAGCAGCTTCTTGAAGTTTTCGCTGATGAAACAAGTATTAAGGTATTTAAAGCCGTTTAATTGATTACTTTTTATTCAGTTTCTTTTTGTATTCTACAAGTGCTAGGTAGCAAGTGAAAACCAAAAGTTTAAAAAATGAAAATTTTCTGTGGATTCATTGTTGTTACCCTAATGACCTTTGCGTCAGCTCAAGAATACAATTACAACTTGGGATCATCATACGGTTCAGGTTCATCATACTCTGCACCTGCTTCTTCATCATACTCTGCACCCGCTGCTTCATCATACTCTGCCTCATCATATGCTGCCAGGCCATCATACGGTGCTGTCCACGCTGGACCCGCTCAAAGTTACGCATACCCATCGCCAGCCCCACAAGTGAAATGTGGAACAAACTTGCTTTTTTCTTGTCAACCATCAGTAGCTCCAGTCCCATGCCCAGCCGTATCATATGCCCCAGTTAAGGGTGGCTACTCTGCACCTGCACAAAGCAGCTACTCGACACCAGCAGCCCACAGCAGCTATTCTGCACCAGCAGCCCACAGCAGCTATTCTGCACCAGCAGCCCATAGTAGCTATTCTGCACCAGCAGCCCACAGCAGCTATTCTGCACCACCAGCCCATAGTAGCTATTCCGCTCCCTCTCATAGCAGCTATTCGGCTCCAGCCCAAAGTAGCTACTCTGCACCAGCTCAAAGCAGCTATTCTGCACCATCCCACAGCAGATATTAAAAAATGTAAAACGAATTTCGCTACATACAAGGAAGAGTTCTATTGTTAAAAAAACTTTTATAATTATTCAAACTTTTTGCAACAAAAATTCATAAATGAAATAAAAAGATTTTTTTCAAAATAAAACTTTTTCAAAATAAAACTTGTCAATCAAAGATGATCCATTGTAAATGAAAAGAACAAAGAAATATTTATTATTCGAATAGGTTACATCCAATTCTTATTTAAATGCTGTTGAATTAAGAAAACTTACAGAAAAAAACTCCATTCCAAGTCTCAATTTACTGGATTGTGTTTTGAGTTCACGCATAAAATGTTTAATTATATCAAAAAATATTAGATTTAAAATAAGGTTATTGTACTATAATACTAATGCTTAAAGCTTGAAATAAAATTTTAAAATTTTATGTTTCAATTTATGCACATAATTTTCAACATTAATATGTGAATTTCACTTTTTTTTTCTACATAGGTAAACGTAATTGCAATTGTTATTGCTGTTTAACATAAATTTGGGTTTTTCACTTATACATAATAAATAAATTTTGATTGATTGAAGTTACTTGTAGGGTTATTCTTTAAAAAAACTGACCTGAATTAAATATTTCAGTCATTAGGAAACCTCAAAGCACACACAAAAAGGTCTAAATTAAGTTTTGGATTTTTATATACCATAATTTAATTAAAAAATTCAACACAAATTTCCTGACTGATTTAAATAAATTCTCTTTGTCTTTTAATTTTTAAATAACTTTTTTTTTCATATTCTAGTTAGATATGTATTTAATATGTACATATACATCTTCATATTTAATTAGAAACCATTTCAAATTGAAGTAAATGTCGTTTTTGAATTCAAGAGAAGAAATCAGACAAATTTTCAAACAACAAAAGCATCATCATCATCATCATCAATAACATGCAATTGCGATATCTATGAATCAACATACATGCTTTTGTTTATATCTAAATATTTGTGAATTCACAAAATGAATTCAAATGTCATTCGCTTTAAACCTGTTTGTTTATCTAATTTTTTTTTCTTCCTGCTTAAATTTGGTAACAGTAGATATTTAGTAGCAGTTAACTTTTGTGTGCCGAAATATCAACAACGATAAAAATTTAAGAACGAAAATGAACATTCTTATGGCTTCTTTATTGCTGTACACTGTGATATTGTTAACTGTTAAAGTGAATGCAGATATTGTTGAGAAGAATGGAATTTGTCTAGATGAAATAAAAGCACTTGAGAATTGTCTCAATCAAGCAGGTCAAGGACAAGGTTGGTGTCCGATAAAAGTACTTGTCTAGATAATTCATTTTTAGTGTCTACTTAAAAATCACTAACAAGATCTTTTTCTTTTGTAGAAGCAATGAAAGTCATCGATGCATGTTCAGCCTTGATGATGAAAATGAATAAGTGTATCAATGGAAAACAATGAGATTATGAAATAAATATTAAATAGCCCTTTCTCAAATATTATATTTTTATTTCTTTTACATGCATTCATTCTTTTACACAGCAGAAATATATGAAATCTCTACATATGCAGGTATAGTTCTTCTTTGTATGTTGGAAAAAATCTATACATATTTAGAAGAATACTTAATCATCTGTTACAATAGTACATATTTTTTTCTTATTTACCTCAACTCGTGCTCATTATCAAACACACAGCCTCTATCAGATGTATGTATTCTATTATTACTGAGTTTATCAAAATTAAAAACTTGAGAGATTGTTTCTTATTTCTGACCGTTTATCCAAGTTTTTTTTTTGACAAACTTTTAGTAACAGATTTCATTTGTTGAGTTTATTGTGAGGGTGATTAATTTTTGCAGTATTCAATCTTGGGACTTTTAATGACGTAATATTTAATTCTTTCATTCGTTTTGAAAACATTTTAGGTTTTAAACTTTCTATTTTTAGCTTTTGGTAATTGATATAAAGTCGAACTGTGAAGAAATAGAGGATTTCAAGAAATGAAAGTGTTGACATACCGATCAAAAGTGAATATACGCCCCCAAGATTTGCTATCAAATCAATCAAATTTGTCAGTAACGAACGAATGAAAACTCTGTAAACTTGTGACACAAAGTAAACGTGAACAATCATATGATTTTTTGTCACATTAAAGCTGTAAAAGAATTTATGAAATAATTATTTCTAACTGCTTTATAAATATAAAAACAAAAACTTACTAAAAAGAATCATTGGGAGCTGATATAATAGAATCAATATTTGTGGAGCTTATACGAATTTCATATGACTGTCCATTGCATTCTGAAGGACAAATACAGGTTTCTGAGTCGTTTGTTGACTTTTTTATGTTTTTCAATATGTCTTGTCAAACGATGGCAAAGAAAGAGAGAAATGAAGAAGAAAATTTAGATTAGTTTAGATTTCATTTTTATTTTAATGTGTAATACTCAACCTTGATGTTCCATTATGCATTTAATATCATTAAAGTTACAAATTGGAACATTTTCAGTGTTGTAGTAGAAATATGGAAGGCAACCGCAAGTATCAATATGAAGTTGCATGAAACATTCGACGTAGCAGTTTTCTTCTTTGTATGTTGGAAAAAATCTAAACATATTTAGAAGAATACTTAATCATCTGTTACAATAGTATTTATTTTTTTATTTACCTCAACTCGTGCTCATTATCAAACACACAGCCTCTATCAGATATAGCTAAAGTTCTAACTGCTTGAGAGCAATCTGTTCGCTCAGGTCTGACTTCGACAAATGTTTCTTGTTTGTGCGGTAACATTCGTCTAATCGCACTTCGACTCGGGAATAAATTTGGATGGTTGATTAATATTTCCATTCCTTCACTATTTATTGAAGTCATTGCATATTTCTCTATTTGTGGATTCAAAACAACACTTAATCCCATATCGGGTCCAAAAAATTCAGTGTTTCTAATCCTATAATGTTTTTTTTGTGTCATTGGAGAAATAATTGACGTTTTTAAAATATTAAACGAACAACAAAATCCTTGGTAAGTTTCAGAGATTGAGAAAAGTTTTTCACAATCAATAAATTTTCCCTCCCATCGACATCTATACAGAAGTGTTGAACATGGATACATAAGCTTTTTCATTGTTAGCGCTACATCATAGCGATTCTGTTGCATTAACTCTTGAAGTTGCGGAAGTTCACTTTCGTTGAAATCGGTGATGAAATTAGTAAAACCTGCAGTATATTTTATAAAACGAAAAATGTCCGAGTCCGATAAATCTTCCAAACTCGATGGAATTTCACTAATGATGAATAATTTTACATGAGTGAATATCGAGATTATACAATTGACTTTTTGATGAACTTACAGAGAATCTTGCAGAACTTTTATTCGAGAAAGAGTCATGAAATTAGGATTGCAGAATGTCACAGCAGGGAATTCTATTTCATTTATTTGACCGAAACTCTGTGTTAATATATTAATTAGCCTAATTACAATGCAATCAAATGTTTCATAAATATTCTTTAATTACCGTTTTTAGATTTATTCTCGTAGGATTAGATTTGTATCGCATCAAGAATGTTTTCATGAGAATTATTGCACAAATAAAACAAATAATTGTGATAGTTGCCCATGTTATTCGTGTTTTTATAGTTCCTCTTGAATCAGACGTATTTTTGAGACCATGAATTGAAGTTGTTGAAGTAAATTGCTTCCAGGTCAGTTCCAAGGCGCTCTTGAAAATTAATTGCCTTCCTTTAATTTTTAGAGATTTTTTCGCAATTGCCATAACTTTGAATTCGCGTTTGTATGCTAACAATTGAAATGAACTACTAAGCATGAATTTCCGAAAGGAATCGTTGGATTTCCCATGAAAATCAGCAAAGGTGTTTCTATTGGATAATTAATATTTCAACATACATGATTAATATTCCGTGTCATTTTGCTGAAATAAATAAAGAACTATATGTATAATGATTCAACAATTTCTATGAATTTTTCAAGCATTTTGAGAGACAACCATTTTTCCTCTGAAATTTTGAAAAACTGTAGGCATGTCGAAATTTCACATTTTTTAAGAAGCTTTCTAATAGTTATTTTCATATTTTTCTAATAAATTATCTAATTCAAAGTTAACATTGAAAAATATTGGAAGAAATAATGGAATAGAAAAAAAACCTTATTCATAATTTATGATCTTATTGATTACTTTATTGTAACTTTTTTTTTAGTTTTACCTTCCGGATGCAGTCCCATACTTTTCAGTTTAGATGTAAATCTTATTTATCAATCTATAAATGACAATATTAGAGTTGGTTTCTTTCAAAGTTACTTTACGAAAATTCGTTTTATTTTTAAATGAAATTCATGATCATCATTCAATAGTGTGAAATCGAACATAAATCATTGAACTGGATTTAAAATAAATTATTAAAATAAAGATGGATTTAATTTTAATAAATTCAATGAAAGCATAGGAAATATGTTTAGGAGATCCGGATCGGCAGCTAAAACGCTTCAGTTCCTGGAGCAAGCAAATGATGAGTCTAAGGAAACACCACAATCTACATATTGGCCAGCTACTCGAATTGTTCAACAAACAGCTACTGCAGACCGTAAAGGTATAAAGAAATCACTCTGAAGCATCAGTCTATGAGCAACCGAAGAGTATGCTTGAAACGTGTAAAAATCGAAGAAAATAGAATTGTCTTTCCAGTTTATCCACAAATTGCCGAATTGTCGGGATGTCATTAACTTGTTCGTGTAGGTCAGTTGTACGAGTGAAAAATGGTACATTAGATAAGCACAATTCTCATCTTCTTGTTTTGTTGTATTTTTAATCTTTTAAAGTGAGTCATCGGACAGTTACTAAATATCTGAAATTGCCTTGAACTTCCAAAATGCCTACTTAATTCTGTGTGATATTTAAAAAATTATGAAATTTTCTAGAAAGATATAAAATTTTAACTGAATATGAAAATTTAAATTTTGTTAGCTTCTTACCCATATATAGGTAAATTCTTATCCATGGTATTGTTTATTCTGTAAAAGAAAACAAAAGGTTGTATTGAAGAGCTTCGAAGTGCTTGAAATTACAGATCATTTAATAAAAGTTAAAATACATACTGCATTAAAAAGACTAAATGGAATATTTGCAAGACTTCAGTGTTGAAAGAGTTGAAATTCCGAAGAACGGAGCTTCAAAAACTTGTCATGTTTGTAATAAGACTTTTAAAAAAACCTACAATTTAAAACGTCACTTGCATTTGCATACGAATTATCGACCCTATAAATGTCATCATGAGTTTTGTTCATACTCATTTATTCAAAAATCTGATTTACAAAGACATTTAACTACACATAGTGACATAAGAAACTTTATATGTAACATAGCAAATTGTAGAAAACGCTTTCGAACAAAGGTAGGTACTTTCAGTTTCATTTCTAAAAAAATTTATCTTAACATTTATTTTCGCTTTAGAGAAATTTATATTGCCATAGAGCGTTACATTCTACTCCGGATTATAACAAATGTGAAAAATGTGGCAAAAAATTTCATTTACGTAATAGCCTTTTGGTGCATAAAAAGAGAGCTCATGGAAGTAATGGAAATGCTAAATATCATTGTGATATGTGTCCTAAGTTCTTTTGTAGCAAAGGTATATTACTAGATCATATCGATGAACATTTGAGAACTCCACCTAAACTAAAGCAAGGTCTTCAATTCTCAGCTGTCAATAAAACGGATGATTCAACAGTTCAATATATTGTTTGTTATGAAGAAAATGATGGAAATAGTCCAAACTTTTCTAATGATCATGATAATATTTATACAACCAAAAACTCTGAAATAAGCGACAGTGACGATGATTTGGATCGAAAATTTCTGTATTCATTCCTTCCTCATTTAAAGAAACTTTGTAAAAGCAGGAAAGAGTTCTTTAAAAAATCTGCTTGTCTCATTGTTGAAAAAGTTCTAACAATGAAATTTTAAAATAAATTAATATTGATTAATTTTTCAATGTTTTCATATTATCTAAAATAGCTTACCAATATAATTTTGACTGTATTCTGAGATAATCATTTGTTAATAAAACGAATATTTAGAACATAGATTCACTAATATTAATTATTCCTCGTTTTCAATTCACAAATTTAAAGAAAAGGTGCTCTTTGTTTTACTTATTCATTGGAACTTCGATAAGCCGATGGCTCAAGGGGGACAAAAATATTTGTTCATCGGGGGTTATCATTTTATCGAGGAAATTTTTCAAAGAAATTCGGGTGAGTTCTCATCGGTTTATCAAGGTTATTACTATACCGAGGCATCAGCTTATCGAAGGTCCACTGTATACATAAGTAAAATCAGGACAGTCATCGAAAATATTTTTTTATTTATATTTTTTAATTAAGCTTGTTTGAGTGGTCTGTAAATGAGTTGAAAATAATTAAAATTTCATTTAGTCTAGATATTCTATTTTCTAAACATAACTTAATTGAAATACGTCATCATCATCATAATGCCAAAGCATTTGAGGGCAATGGTCATACATAGTGATACAATGACAATGACAGCGCTTCCCAATCTCAGTGCAATTGATTTGTGCTGACTAGTCACTGTCGACTGTTTTTCATCCACCCAAGGTCCTTTCTAGAAAGAAACATTGGGCTGTTTTTATCATCTTTTTTTCAATATAAAAGATTTCATCTTCAACTCCGTTCCACCTAGAGATTCTAAGCAAGATTATTCTCATTATGGTTCGAATTGATAGGAATATCCAAGGGTATTTCATTAGGGAGAAAAAAAAGCACTTGACAAATTCCAAGAAAAACTAAGAAAATTCTTGCAAAATGGTGTTTTTTTTTGATATTACAGCATCATTTTAGAGGCCGCTGGAAAAAATGTTCGATGAAATTCCCCTTAACTTTTTATCAGTACTATTTTAGTACTTTTTATCGCAGCGTAAACTTTTGCTAAACACGTAGATACATACTTAAAATGTAAATGAAAAATTAATTAATTTTCATTTCGTTTTTATTGATAAATTGAATTTATTTTACAAAATGCTTTAATTGAAAGCTTTTATATTTTTATTTATTGAAATTTCGTACAACAAATGTTGAAAAATGTCGGTTGTCAGTGTTTAATATCTTTCTTGGGAACACTTCTTAATATTAATGGAATATTACAAATTAACTTTCAATGACAAGTTTAACACATGAAACCAGTATTGCTATAAATATTAGAACAATTAAGCAACAAAGAATAAAATTAAAAAAGAATTTTAAAGGATTTAACAATCGAGGATATCGACATTTTTCAAGAATTTTCGATTGAAGTTTCTTAATCACAAGTGAATGGTTTGCTGTTTCATTAATGCAAAAATTGTTCATCAAATTTAGCTTTTTTAGTTTATGAAGATGTTTGAAAGCGTTAACACCAATTCTTGTCAGATTGTTTTCACTCAAGTTTACTTCTTCAATGTCTCCATTAAAAAAAAACACATTTTGTTCCAACTCTTGTAGTTGGCTATAGGTAACATGAATTTTTCTGAGCTTATGGAAGTTTCTAAGAGCTTCTGTTGGTAAAGTTTTAAGTCCAGTATTCGAAATAATGATTTCTTCAAGGTTTGGAAAAAACTTTTCTATTCCCATGGGGAAGTATTTAAAGTCAGGTGAAGATATGACTTTAAATTTACTTATGCGGTCATAATCAATAACTTCAGAAAGAGTTCCACTAATACCAGTAACAGTATCGTTCTCTTGTTTGATTTCAAGTTTTCTCACAAGACATTCTGATATATGTTTCATTGATGATATGTAGTCACAATTTATTCGAATACAAGAAATTACGTGTAATAATAATTGAAGTATAAACAGTCCAAGAAACCTAAAAAAAGGCAAACAATAAATGTTGTAATGGAGTTTCAAAAGAAATTTTTAAGATTGAACCTCATTTTAAATTTAAATTACTATAAAGCGTATATAACGATGTTTCAAAGGTAAAATCCAAACAGTAACTAACTAATCGAATATGAAGAGATTGTTTAACAAGAAGTGTCGATGAGATTAAAAACCAGTTTCAAGAATACATTTTAAAGTTTTGTCACATTTCTAAATAGCTAATAGTAGCCGAAAAACATTTAAAAAAGAGAAATTTTGTTCCTTTTTATTGATAAAAAGCTTTGTATGAAAAATTTTCTAATAAATTATCAGTACGTAACATTATTTAAAAAAAGATATGAGAGGAAGTTGATTTTTTTTTCTCCACTCTAAACTATTAAATCGTTGAGCTCATACATCTTCGACTATTCTGTTTACACAACTATTACATCATCATTGTGCTTTTCTTACTACATAGAGAAGTAGGTTTGAAGCGGAATAAAATTTTAAAATATTTACTTACTTATAATATTTTTAGTAGGTAGTAATTTTATTTAATTGTCAAATAAATTCAAATTTATTAGAAAGATGGAAAGCCACTATTTTCAATTTTATTTTTGTTAGGTTTTATCTCAGGTCATATTTTCATTTTATTTTTCTTGATTCTTTCACTACAAAAAGACTTTTTCAGAACCATAATTGCATCATTATCAACCATAATTCAGTTGGCTATCACTCTTTCTATTGTTTCTATTTTGAAAGAATAAATTTAATAAACAGATTCTTCTTGCCATAATGGAATTTTTATCTGGTTATTATAATTAAAATATTTTATTTCGAAATGTTCTAATTTTTCATTCACGAATTATCGTGATTGTTGTCCAAAAGAAGTCAACAGTTTCGACTTTGGCTTAAATTAAGAATTAAAAATCCTTGTCGTGGCTTGAAGTCACTGACTAAGATATGTATATGCATTTCAGAATATAAACTTTTCTTTCGTTTCCCGTAAAATGAACTATTTTAATATATTATTGCAACACTTTAATATTCAGTTAGTTTGAAAAATTGAAAGTAGCTTCAAAAATATTAAAAATTAGAAGAAACACTTCTTTTCATACAAATATCTAATTCATTTTCATTACTATCTTCATTGATTCATTATCATTTATTTACATTATAAATTTAAAATAGTTTCTACTCAACGCATAATCCAATAAAGTCATCATAATCACAAACTTTACAGTCCGAGCAAACATCACCTTTTGAATAAAGCGGTTCGTTTGCCATATTTGCTTTCAAATAATTGCAAGTAAGTCTGGATAGTTTTTTATTTCCTTCGTTTTCTGTCCATTCAACTATTGCACAGCCAACTCTTATGTTTTTATCATAAACCATTTGAGTGAAATGTCCCACGACATACGAAAGATTTGCAAAGGATATTGAGTCAACTAAATTCACTGGGGTTGCTTGAGATTCTCGAAACCAATTTGCTGCAGAATACCATAAAACTTCTTCTACTGAATAGCGAGTCCCAGTAGTTAATAAGAAAGCAATGTTTTGACCAGAAAAGATAAGTCGATTTGAAGAAGTGTTGTAAACTGAGTTCGTTGAATATTTAAAATTAAAAGCCTATGCGTTCTAGACCATACATATTTCACTTACATGTATTATGACATGGATCATGAGATAAACACGTTTTCAAATGAAGAGATGCTAGGACTGCTTGTTCTTCTTCCCATTGCTAAGTATTTTTTATATTAAAAAAGTTTGAAAAGAAATATTAAATACTTACTAATTTCATCATTCTTGAAGCAGTTGGAAATTGCTTTTCATCTAAGTAAGAAGTTGTTAAACCATATGCGACTTGCGATCGGTAATAATTATGAAGATCTACAATGTATTGTTTTTGAGTTTGACTTAATTTTCTAATTGTTATGTCTCTAGGGCATGTCGGTGAAAATTTCTAAAATCAAATAAACAAATAAATATCTAGCTTTGAATATAAGTATTAACATAAATCTACCCCGTTATTCTTGCACCCTGTGTGATCTTCTTTAGATAAACATAATTCTTTCCGACAATAGTCGACTCTAATTGTGGATATTTTCCCAAATAAAAAAAAAACCAAAGAGCAACTTATAACTTTAGTAATTGGAGTTTTCATTATAAAGAGTAGATAGTGACTAAACATTTCGGTTTTACAAATTCCGTTTTGTAGATCCGCTTTTTGCAGTTTTACATTTTTTTTTGAATTATAGTTTTAGTCATGATTTCAATTCATGATTTAAAAAAAACATACATCTACATTTAAACTTTTAAGTATTGATTATACCGCATAAAAACTTTATTTACCTAATTGTTCTTATTTGTCAGAAAGTATTTATTTTATTTGAAAACTTGTTTCAATTAAACCGCATTAAATTCATGGAAAAAAAGCAAAGTGTTCTTATTTAAAAATTTATTTATTATTTTCCAGCAAGAATATTTTGAATTTCATTTACAGACTTGGCTTTAGTTTCAAAAACAAACATCAAAGTGAAAATAAATCCAACAAATGTTGCACCTGCAAATATCCAAAATGTTCCTCCGATTCCAATAGCGTCACTGATAAATCCAAAAGTGGATGTTACAGTAAATGCCAGAAACCAACTCAAGGAACCGGTAATTGGGCTAGCCACTGCATTATACTCTCTGGAATAGATTTCACTCAACATTAACCAAGGAATTGGCCCATAACCAATGGAAAATGCAACTAGGAAAATGCTTAAGGATGTCAATGGAAGCCAAGCCAATTCATCAATGTTCTCATATTCCATATCTAAAAGGAAAAAATAAGTGCCGAGAGAAATCAGCGTAAGACCCATGAAGAAGCTTGAAAGTGCTAGGAGAATTTTTCTTCCAACACGATCAACAAGAAAAGTTCCCAGCAATGTTGCTACTACTAAAACGGATCCAATAATGATTGTTTGCAAGTCTGATGCAATTTCAGTTTGTGTCGCCTACAAAACAATATCAAATATTAGTAAATTCTTTTCTCAAACTTATCATATTGAACTTGCCTCAAAGATATTTGTTGCAAAAAATATCACGACGTTG